TTAAGGGCGCGCTATCAGTATTGTGTGTTGCCTATCTCACAATAGCTTTCTTATGGGAAACATGCCTAACGTAATTCATACCGTTTTTAAAAACTATACTTTTTTTTGGGAAATGTTTGTTGTTTCTTGTTCTTAAATGTATGTAAATTATGAGTGAACAGTTTATATTGCACTAAAACTCATAGCACATTCTCTGAAAGTGTATAAAGTAGACGTTCGATTGCAATGGCAATCTTTTGTGTATACAAAGGTCAAAGAAGTTTTTGAAATATAAATTGTTTCTCCAGATTCTTGAACATATAAGGAATAAAACGTGATGTAAAAATGGATAATATGTGGTTTCTAAAGCACAAACGGTATGAACTCCGTACACTTGAAAAATAACTCGTAAAACAATTATAGAAAAGAAATCTGTGCTCAGTGTAGTTCAACGTGTATCCACTAAGATGGCTACGGTATACTATTCTTACAAAGCGGGAAATTTAAAATGGAGCACTTTTTGGAATGTATTAATGTATCTATTTTTTAGCAGTATAACTTATTCCTTTATTGGCTTTGTTGGTCATTAATGCAGATAAAATGTATCCAGCAAAAAACCGTACCATAAGTAGGAATTACACTGGTTAACGTACGTTACCTACATTCAAAATTTGGGTTAGGAAACTGGCAAAAGAAGTATTTATAAACGTTGAGTTTAGGATCATGGGATTTTTCACTCTACGTTATAATTAATTAATATAAAAATTTCAGAGCTTACAACAAAAAGAGGTTATGTTGGATGGTGTTTCTGAATTGATAATACAGTGTTAATACTGCTTACGTTTACCAGACGAAGCGCTTCATGAGCGCTACTTAAGGGCAAGAATACTCTATCAAAATTTCTCGCCCAAGCTATCTAATAGCACTGTCGACATGTACGGTGGTATTTACACCTCGGCAGTGCTATCAGACAACTCTGCAAGAAATCAGTAACTGGAGAATAAATGTACACGTCACTTACAACTAAATTTAAGCACTATTAATAATAACGAAACCCCACCGATTGGATGCCATCTCGGTTCCCATAATTTGAATGAACTACATACTATCGGCATTGAATAATTCAATGCTATCGGTATTATATCAAAATATGATTTCCCACCCAAACAAATAACATTCAATTATGAGTTAGTATTGCTGACTTGCAAATCTTTTCCTAAAAATATTGCGTGGATTGTCCTTTGTGATCATAAAGGCTGAGTATTCCTTAAGGCCGATTCACATTATTATCGGTCAGGTTACGGTCAGAACATGAACAGAACAGAAATACACGGTTACAATAATTGACCACACCGTGTTCTGACCATGATGTGACCGATGGCCTTATATAAACGCACTGCAATGACATCGTTCGGTAAAATGATAATCGGAAAAAAATGTACTCCATGTCGGAAGTCAATCTTCGGAAATGTGTACAGTCGAAGGATAGCCTAAAACAATCCATTAATAGAACTATATTAAAATAAAGATCCTCAACTTTACTTACCTAGGTAGGTACTGGTTTTTTTTGTTATTTTGCAGTTAATCTAAATCAGGTACCTAAACATAATCCATAACATAACCCAACTTTGAATGGCATTTCAGGAATTACAATTACGCACTTGTTGTGTTGTCCGGGAACACAACCACGTGTCGCGATTGAATAATACTCTGTATTACTTCAACTACTCTAGCTCGACTTTATTGTAACAGACTACATTCTACTACCATATCTAAGCAAGAACTAAAACTAGCATATCGGAGCACACCCTCCACTCTCTTAAGGCGCGCGCACTCCCGCCAAATACATAACACTCCACCCCCCTAGCTTTCAAGCACATAATCGGCTAAACGTAAGGGTCTTTTGCGCACTCGTTTCCCTACTGCCTGCTCACTCACATCACTTTGTGTCTCTACGATGTTCTCCTTCGGGATTCCCTCGTTGTCTGGTACGCTGCTGCAAGGAATGTTCTCCGATGTCTCCGATGAGGTTCTTCTCGGTGGATAGTCGGTGCTGGATGAGGATGGTGCCCCACGATCTCTGATCTGATCCACATGTCGACGTACCATTTTCTCCTCGGTGTCCTTGGTCTCGTACGAAATTGGCCCAGTCGATCTAACAATAGTGGCAGGAACCCATTTTCTAGCTTCACCATACCCCCTCTAATGAAGACGTCCTGTTCCGCTTCAAATTGTCTGGGAGCTTTCGTGGTCCCGGCCTGCTTTTCTTGTTTCTGCTGCATTGATTGTACAAAATCTGGTCGGACTCGATCCAAACAAGTACGTAGTTTTCGTTTCTGTAACAGTTCCGCTGGACTCACCCCTGTCATGGCACATGGTGTGGTGTGTTGGCCCAGCAAGAATCTGGAGATTTTCAGCGACCAATCTCCCTCCCCCAATTTCGCCAAATTTAGCTTGGTAAACTGCACCATTCTTTCGGCTTGGCCGTTTGACGAAGGGTGATACGGTGCCACGCATACCTGTCGAATTCCGTTCTTCCTAAGGAATTCTGCAAATTCGGAAGATGTGAATGCTGTCCCATTGTCGCTGACTACTACATTAGGCAGCCCATGTGTGGCAAAGATTTCTCGAAGCGCGCAAATCGTAGCCCCCGAGGACACAGACGGCACTTTTTTTACCTCGAGCCATTTCGAATACGAGTCTACCACAATTAAGAAATTTTGTCCCTTTATTGGACCTGCATGGTCCACGTGAATTCGCGACCATGGGTCCAGAAGCCCACTCCCATGGGTGAATTGGCGCACGCGGCGGCGCATGACCAACTACCTGGCACTTTTTACACTCTTTCACAATTTTCTCGATGTCCTGGTCCAAACCTGGCCACCACATGTAACTACGAGCAAGCGCTTTCATCCGCACAATACCTTGATGGGTCGCGTGCAATAATTCAACGGCTTGTTGTCGCGCTTTCTCAGGTATTACTACCCTTGAACCCCACAGAACACAGTTTTTATATACTGACAATTCCGCGCGTTTGTTCCGAAATGGTATATATTCAGGTGGAATGTCACTAGGCCACCCTTTAAGCAGCCAATCACGCACTCGCGAAAGAATTAAGTCTTTACCGGTTAGCTTCTCGACTTGTTCTGCATTAAGAATCTTCTCTGGCATCATTTCAATCATCAGGACGTCCCCCAAACCCTCAGGATCCGCCCCGATTGATGACACTGGTAACCGGCTTAACGCGTCAGCATGCTGAATTTTCGCCCCCGGTCGATACTCTAACTCGTACTGGTAGTTGGCTAAGAATAAAATCCACCTTAGCATTCGCGGTGATAATATCTCGGGAGTCGGTTTCGTCGCTCCCAATAGCCCCAATAACGGTTTGTGGTCCGTGATAATTGTAAATTCCCTGCCATATAGGTATTTGTGGAATTTTTTTATTCCTGCGATGATGGCAAATGCCTCTCGATCTAGCTGTGCATAGTTCCGCTGCGTGGCTGACAGTGTTTGGGAATGAAAAGCAATTGGAGCTTCCACTCCCCCCGGCATGATGTGACTTAAAACAATACCAACCCCCCAAGGTGATGCATCGCAAACCATCACCAGTGGTAACTCGAGGTTGTAGTGAACCAACAAGGAATCTGATGTAACTAGGCTTTTTACAGATTCAAAAGCAATTTTGTGAATACCTGTCCACTCCCAAGGTTTGTCCTCATCAAGCAATCGATGCAATGGCTCGACTATGTCAGCGTTGCCCTTGAGAAAGGTATGATAAAAATTCAGCAAACCTAAAAATGCTTGCAGCTCCTTTTTACATGTAGGTTCTGGAGTGGCCCATATTGCCTTCACTTTCTCCTGGGTCGGTCGAATTCCCTCGCTGTCAATCCTGAATCCCAGGAACTCAATTTCTTGTACATTAAAAACGCACTTCGCCCGTTTTAATTTCAGCCCGTCCTGCTGTAGTCTCTGTAACACTTCTCGCAATCGATCTAGAATTTGTCTTTCATCACGCGCACAAACAAGGATGTCGTCGAAATATGGAAAGACCCCCTCTATTCCCGCTAATCTTGAATTAATGAATTTCTGAAATAATTGTGGAGCGACATTCACCCCAAATTGAAGCCTATTTACTTTGAAAAGACCTCGATGGGTAATTACAGCTTGAGCTTTCGCTGCATTCTCGTCCACACTCAATTGCTGGTATGCCTGTGCTAGGTCCAATTTTGCAAACCCTTTACACTCACCCAAGCTGGCCAAGATCTCATTTATTACTGGCATCGGGTAAGCCGGTACTCGTAGTGCCTTATTGATTGTGGCTTTGTAGTCTGCACAAATTCTAATTTCGCCCGAACTTTTAACAACTGGAACAATCGGACTGCTCCATTCCGAATGGTCGATTGGTTGCAGCACTCCTTGACGAACCAACTTCTCCAATTCCGCTCCGACTTTCCCTCTCAACGCAAAAGGAATGTTTCGAGCTCTGCAGCTCACTGGTGCCATGGACGGGTCTAACGCAAATTTAATGGGTGGCCCCTTATACTGGCCTAACCCCTCCGAGAACACTTCCTGAAACTCCAACACTAGCTCGTCCAACGAGGAGTTAACCTCAATTTTATTTATTCCCGAAATTTCAATCTTAAGTGCGTCGAACCAATTACGCCCTAATAGATTGGCTCTAGTGTTCCTTGTAATTACCATTGGTAGGGTACACAATGTTTTTAAATGTCACGAGCACGTCACAAACTCCCGCCGTTTCCACGGTTGCCATGGAAAAATCTCGAAAAGTAGTTTCACACGGACGCATTTCCGGTTTATTAATTGGCCAAAGTCGATTAAAAGTTTGTAACGACATAATTGTGTCACTGGCGCCACTATCTACCTCGAATTCGCACAATTCTCCGTTTATGTTAATGTTAACCTTAAACAGATTTGCTTTCCCGCGGTCGTTCATGTTGACGTTGAATAGTTCCCCGAGCCCGTAGCTATCTTCGTCGGTGTTGCCCACTTGATTAACCATTGTTCTGCGTTGCGGCGTCTTATTTTTAGCCTTCGCCAAACAAACTCGCTCGATGTGGCCCTTTTTCTTGCAAAACCTGCAAACCACTTCTTTGCATCTGCAAACGTCCGGTTTGTGAAGGTCACCGCACCTAAAACAGGGTTTCATTGTTGCGGCCGCGTTGTCCCTTTTGTTTGTGCTATAATTAGCATTCCGTTTTCCTGTAACTGCATTCGCCGATTTCGAAGTATCGCCGCCTCCGGTGATTGACCCTCGTAATTCGTTTAAATTTACGCCAGCCGTTTCCGCTGCAATCGCGGCATCGACAGCTTTCTGCAAGGTCAAGTCGCTTTCCGCTAATAAGCGACGTTGCAGCGCTTCGTCCCTGACCCCGCACACAATCCTGTCACGAAGCATTTCATCCCGTGAATCCTCGTGGAAACTGCACGTGTCTGCTAACTTTCTCAATTCCGCCAAATAGCTGGAGAATTTCTCGCCGACTTTCTGATCCCGCTTGTTGAACAGGAAACGCTGCACAATTTTGGACGGTGCCGGTGCAAAATGTGATGTTAGTAATTTTACCAACTCCTTGTATTCAACTTCCCCCGGTTTTTTTGGCGCGCAAAGCGATCTTACTATTTCATATGTGGCATGACCACAAGCACTTAACAATACGGCTCTCTTCTTAGAATCCTCCTCGATATCGCTTGCTTCCAAACAGAAATGTAAACGCTCGGCGTACACATCCCACGTAATCGATCCCGTTGGGTCGAATTCTGGTAAACCACGAAAACCCGCCATTTATTCCGATTTACCGTGATCCCCTCTCGTCGCCAATTGTTGTGTTGTCCGGGAACACAACCACGTGTCGCGATTGATAATACCTTGAATAAAAACACTATAAGAAGCCTAAACGTTATGGAAAGAAAGCGCGACACAATCTCACAAATCCCCTGACCCGTTGGTTGTGACCACCGAAACTCTCTTTGCGGTAAATAGGAGGAAGCAAAATTCTCATTCTTTTCAGTTAGAATCGACTCTATGACAGTGTTTCCCATTATATTCCTCAGTTCAAACTCTGGTCGCCGCTTTAGTCCACGGGGGTTAGGCTTCTTATAGTGTTTTTATTCAAATGATAATACTCTGTATACGCTATATTAGTGATGACGTCACACGCCATTTTTGTTATGGAAGGTCATGTCCAATTATCCAAACACGTTTGATCTGCATGCTTTGTCTTATGAGTGAACATTATTGAAGTGATTTTATAAATATTGTCGTGTTTTTAACAGTTACAAAGTGTTGAAACTTGAAGAGAGTACCTTAAACATTATGTTAAAAATTTCATTTCATTCCCTCCAGTGTTAAAAACATTGAATATTGTGTTTATTCAAATTAACCTCAAAATTTTCGCGGTTATTAGTACAAAAACTTAGTTGTACCTATTTTACGATCGTGTTTTTAAAATATTAACACTTTCGGATTTTGGAAAGTATTAATTAACAAGAGGGTGATAATGGTTTTATGTTGGGCTCCGGGTTGTAACCATTACAACCAACGAGAAACCTGCAGATTTTTTAAGTTTCCCACAGAACCTCGTTTAAGGGCCAAATGGAAACAACTTGTTAGGTACGTCTTTTTGCAGTATGTTGTTTTAAACTGTCTAAAATCACAAATATTATAGGCGCAGTATCGAACCAGGTAGTGGTGCCTTTTTATGCAGTTGCCATTTTCCAGATGGCCGGAAAGAAAATGGCCCAAAATTATTTGAATATAATCGTGAGAAACGATTTGCGTTCTCATCTCCAGAAAAGAAACGTAGATGTACGGATTCAAGAGACATAGAGTAAGTTGAAGTGTGTTTAATCAAAGTTATGTATATTTACATAATGTTATAGGTCAAAAGTACAAGATAATGAAACGTCTGAACCTGTTCCTGCATCAAGTGAGCTACAGCCAAGCAAATCACTGCAAGCCTCCGCATGGGGCGATCCCCAACCAAGCACATCCCATGAACTAACCGCATCCAGACAAGTTCCGGCATTGGATGAGCTACAGCCAAGCACCTCATGGCAAGCCTCCATATTGGACGAGTCACAACCAAGCACATCCCAAGAAGTCTTTGTGTCAAGTGATTCTGCTGTGGTGGATGCAGAAAATTATTTCTTATTACAAGAAATTAATGCGCAAAAGAGACAACTACAGTATTTCTCCAACCGCATGAGTTTTGACAGCATTGCAGACCACAATACACTAGTATTGTTATACACTGGATTACCCAGCAAAGAAATTTTTGAAAGTGTGTATAACTTAGTTAGCAATTTGAAAATAAATTATTATTTCCATTGGAATGTGGAAAAATTGAATCGCAAGGATCAGTTGCTCCTTACCCTTATGAAGTTGCGACAAAATGCTCCGCATTTAGACCTAGCCTATCGATTTGGTATTTCACAGGCTACTGTATCAAATATTGTAATTACATGGATTCATGTTCTTCATCAGATATTGTTTAAAAAACTAATGAACACCATCCCAGCTAGGGAGAAAAATAGAACGTGCTTGCCAAATTGTTGCAGTACTTTTACAAACTGCCGAATTATTATAGACTGCACAGATATTTTCACCGCTGTCCCACGGAGCTCAATGGCTACGCAACGAGTCACATACAGTGCCTATAAACATAGGAATACCTGCAAAGGTCTTATAGGTAATTCATATGCACTATGGAGGGAAAATCAATATATTTATTGAATCTTTTTGTAGGTGTTGCACCCAATGGTGTTATAACTTATATAAGCGGTCTTTATCCAGGTTCAACGTCTGATAAAAAAATAGTCCAGCACAGCGGAATCCTCGATCAAATGGTACCGGGTGATTTGATTTTGGCCGATAAAGGGTTTCTTATTCGAGATTTATTACCACCTGGAGTGGCACTAAACATCCCACCTTTTTTAAGTACAGCACAATTTTCACCGGAACAAATTAGGCAGACAGAATGTATTGCACGTGCACGCATTCATGTAGAACGTGCCATCCGCCGCATGAAAGTGTATCGGATTTTGTCTTTTATTCCTTCTAAATTGATTCCCTATGCAGAGGAGGTTTTCCAAACAGTTGGAGCCTTAACAAACTTACAATATCCCTTAATTAGAGAAGTGGAGCAATATTTCTTAGTGGCTGATGATTAAAATTTCATTTTATTTAATATTAGTAAGTAGGTAATAAGGTGTACAGTTTAGGGTAGAATTAATTATGTATTACTGGTCTAGGTCCTCATAGAATTAATAGTTAGTATAAGGTAATAAATAGCAGTTGTTACGGTACACCCTGTACTCACAGGTGAACTATATTATTAACTACGCGCAACTATTAGGAATCGTTCGAGATAGGCAGTATAATAATAATATAATAATAATAATAATATTTATTGTCCAAACAAGTAGATTCTCTATAACAGGACAATATCTAAAAAAGAAATGTTACCGTAATTGCGAGCCGCTAACTATTCAAGAAAGAAAAAAAAATAAACAAAAAAAAATCTAAAAATTCAACTCAGATACAACTAAACTCATTCAACGAATTTTAACAGTTCGTTTAAAGTAATATTAAATATATCCGTGGTGGAAGGTAATTCGTTCACTAGAGAGCACATTCAATGAGCTGGTGATCTCTGTAACGCAGCAGTTCTGCATCTGAACGAGTTGAATGTTGCTGTGCATCTTGATGACAATCTTGGAACGCGGAACCTGATTTTGTTTAGTAAAGAAGGGCAATCTATAGTATTGGACAAAAGTTTGTAGAGAAAGGTAACACATAGCCTCTTTCTTCTGGTACTAAGAGGTAAAAGTTCAAACCGCGCACACATAGTCGACTGAGAGAAACCTCTTGGGGGATAACATCCATCTTCTCGGTAGCATAGGTATTTTAAAAGCCTACGTTGGACGCGCTCAATTTCGTGGACGTAGTTTTGGTATAGTGGGAACCAAATTAATGCACCGTACTCCAGCTTACTTCTCACCAGCGAAGTATACAGAGCTCTTATAGTAAAAGTATTCCTAAAGGCGGTACTTGTTCGTATAATAAATCCCAGAGTCTGCAGTGCACGTTTTATCATGTTCCTTATGTGGTAGGAGAAATTTAAAGCGGGATCAAAGTGAATGCCCAGATCCTTAATTACACTGACTTTTTCCAGAACGGTCTTGTCTATGGTAGGTATAATTATATAGAAGTGGATTATGTGAACGAGTAAAAGACATAACTTTGCATTTTGAAACATTTAAGTGCAGGTTGTTGCATCGGCACCATTCGTGTAGGGAATCTAGATCGTCTTGCAGTCTACGACACTCCGCAGGGCAGGTAATTTTTCTAAAAATTTTGAGATCGTCGGCAAACATCAGCTTGTTGGATGAGATGTATCGGGGAAGGTCGTTGATAAATACTAAAAAAAGTAGGGGACCCAAATTAGACCCTTGAGGTACGCCTGAGGTTACAACATATGATCGAGATCGGTAGCCATTGTACCATACAAACTGAGTTCGGGTTGACAAATATGATTCGAAGAGATCTACTAGGTCGACGCTAAATCCGTAGTCAGATAACTTCTTCAGCATGATACGGTGGTCAATCTGATCAAATGCTTTCTGGAAATCTGTGTAGATAACGTCCATTTGACCTCGTTCGTCGATGGTTTCGGCGCAACTTTGGGTAAACACGGCAAGATTTGATATGGTAGATCATTTCCTGACAAATCCATGTTGGTATTCCGATAGCTGTGCTTGAATTTGATGAAATAGCTTGTTATATAATACCATCTCAAATAATTTCGAGAAGTTGCAAAGGATAGATATAGGGCGATAGTTTTCAATCTTCGAGGGGGAATCCGATTTTAATATCGGGCAGACTTTAGCAGTTTTCCATACTTCAGGGAAAGTGCGCTGTTTCAGAGCTAAATTAAAAATTACTAGCAAAGGTCGACTTAGTATGCTGGCACAGTCCTTAATAAAGAATGCTGGAATTTGGTCCGGTCCGGCTGTATACTTATTTTTAAGCGCTTTGATGGCCTGCATAATGTCCTCTTCAGTAATCTCGTCCATGGCTATTTGACCACTAAGGTGGCAATAGAGAGGTTGATTACTATTATAATTAGGTAGGGGTTGTCTGTACACACTTGAGAAATGCGAAGCAAATGCGTCGACAATTGTTTGAGGTTCGTTGAAAGTGGAGTTGTTGAGACACATTTCACCAGGAATACGAGAGATATTTTTCTTTGATCGAATAAATGACCAGAATTGCTTCGGATCCGATGAAAGGGAATGCTCAAGATATGCCATGTGCCGGTTACATGACTCACTCATTAATGCCTTGGTTAACCGGCGCAAACGCTTAAATTCTTGAAAGTCGTGTACACTTTTGGTTAATTTGTATTTTTTATGACTACGATTTTTTAATTTTAGATTATATTTCAATTGTTCACTAAACCATGGAGGGAATTTAGAAGTTCTAGTTCGGCGGTACAAAGGAACACTTCTATTGAGTATCGACTCTAGTATAGAATATAATTCAGTACATGCTATATTAATATCGACAATGGAGTTAAGAGCATTCCAATCGGCGTAAAGCATGTCATTATACAACTGGAGATAATTTTTAGTATGGTTTGCGTTACGGTTACCGGATGGTGTAATGGGCGTTGTCAAGGAGTTCCTCGAATTCCTGTGGTAGGTCTTCGAGTAGTTGGATTAGGAGAGTGGAAGGGAATTTGAATTTCTTCTTAGGTTTTCGGGGAAGGGGTCCTCCTTTGACGGGTTTCTCTATTCCCTAATGAGATTAAGTATCTTATCAGAGATCTTCTGTCAATAAAGATGAAGGAGATTCGTAGGGACGGTGATGGAGACTGCATCGGAGATGGTGGTATAGGGAAGACCTATAAAGCTTCTATCGCTTTGCTCTGTCGCTTAATTAAACGTATGCATGTCATCATCATCGAACAATTTTTCTATTAAAAGGGATAACGTACGACTTATTTTTTCTTTAAAACCGTCAAGTGGTATTTTGGTTTCCACATCCTGTTAAGATATGTAAAGTTTGTAAGAATTGCAAATGATTCAGTGGCTTCTGGAATAATTGCGTAGTTTAGGCAAGACAATGTAGAAAACCAGAGTTCGTGTCCGTGGTACCTATTTCACTTTAATCAGGAAACGATATTCTTAATGAAAAATTAACGTACTATTTGATCTCCATAATGAAAGATAAATGTTGTACTTTTTTGTCGTAAATTTGAAAATTACATTTTGTAATTAAAGAGTTTCCATTTTAAGATTCGGTTTTAAGTTTAGCACCTTTGACTACTTGAGCCGACATCAAATTCACCTGTTATAAGCCAATGAGGAATTGTGAAAAGCAAAAATCTTCACTCATTTAATCTTCGATAGTTTCCTTATAGGGAAAAACTTGTCCTTGTATGTTCTTGTATTTGCGGTAACCTATTGTAAGATACGTAAAACTGTAGATAAAACTGAATTAATAGATATAGGTAGATAAATTTAGGTAAGTAAATTGGTACTAAAAATAGCGTAAGTAAACTATCTGCAAGTTCAATAGGTGAATTTTTTCAGTTCGCCCTTACGGACTCTTAATGCTCCACGTGAAAGTATTTATAGATGGAACGGGAAATAGTGTTTGTAATGTATTCCTTCTGCGTTAACTAGTGTACATCAGACTTATTTAAAGTACTGAGGGAAAGAAAATATTCTTTTCACATTAATACTTACTGCCAGATAACAATCATACCCCGTTTATACATCATTGCATTGTCTATTGATCTTCAAAAGTTGGTCAAAAATTCGTTAGGACTCAAACGAATTAATATGATTTTGTTTGTGAGCTAAAGGCGTTCTAATGCCCAATTGGTAATTTCAGTTTTATGTATATTACGCGCAGGTAGTTTCATTTAAGTTAATACCAGTTTTTATTTTATTTTAGGAAGTCACATTGCGAAAATGTAATGGTAATGAAAAACTAGGTCTAACAGTATGCTATAGTTCTGGATCAGATGTTGATACATACACTGAAGTATATATCCAAAACATTGCACCTAACAGCGTTGCCCATTGTGACGGGAGACTACGTGAAGGGGATCAAATACTCCAAGTAAATGGTAAGGATGTTACCAATAAAGAAGAAACAGAATCCCTCTTTGCCGAAAATCCAAAGGCAGTAACGTTATTGGTCAGTCGATGTCCAAATCAGGTATTATTCAAACTAGCTATATGTTGTTTAGATATCTAACGTTTCGCTTTAGAATGAGAAAGAAGCCGAATCTCCAACAGAATTTTTAACTTCATCTCCCCGAAGTGTAGCTTATCAAAATAGCCTTATAGAGCAATTAGTGCAGCAGCAATCAGTTTTTGAACAATCTCACACGCGTGATGTACCAATGGTCCCACCACACTTACAGTTGAATCTCACCAACTCATTGATACGTTCCCAAATGTACATGATAAACCATGAGATATCAGAATTGGATAAGAGGATGCAAAACATACAACTAGTAAAAAGAGATAAATTTAAGTCTTTACAATTGCCCTCGGAATCTGATTCAGAACACATTTATGAAACCATTCCAGAATCTTTAGATTCCACATTGGAACCCATATACTCCTGCCCATACGAATCGCAAGAAAACATCAATCTTCAACTTTTTGTAACAGAAAAACAAGACTCGATCTCTAAAGAAGAAAAAACCAATCAATCAAAAAATGCGCAAAGTGTTCGAAATAACAGTAATGAAGAAGAGCACGACAATAGCTCCAGCGCATACAACACAGGAGGGTCCTGTAACAGTAATTTGCTAACTGTGGAACTGAGTTATGGGCTAAACTCCAATCAAAGGGACAATTACAGGCAATTTGATATCATTTTATGAACTGCTAACGAAAAGTTATATTTTAGGTCCACCCTTGTCTTATATGCACCGTCTGAGGAAGAAAAATCCAAAAAACAACAGGAATCAAATGATAACTGTGATTTGTGTGAGGTTGTTACACTAAAGCCAAACAAAAACAAAACTTTGCCTACAAAAACATGTAATGCTCCTACTACATCTCCTATTACCAAACCAGATCTCAATATATCGGATTTTTTGTCCGATACTATGTACACAAATGTTGCTAATCTGCAACAGACCATATTGCTACAACAACAACTTTTCCGACAAGCTTTAGGCAAACAGAGTAATGGTACCATCTGCAAACCAACAACTAGTTTCACAACACCAAGTTTAAGTCAGTATCAGTTCGTTAATTGTCCACAGGTAAGTATTTTAACCTCTAAGAAGGTTAATCTAAACATATATAAATATTAATTTGTGTAGACATATAAAGCAAAGGATACCAAAATGGAATGGAAAGTGAAAAGACGGTCAGATGGAACAAGATACATAGCGCGGCGCCCTGTTAGAAATCGCATTTTAAGGAATAGGGCACTTAGAATATCTGAAGAAAGGGCCGGAGTTACCACCGAAGATGACACCATATCCGAATTTAAGGTAATGTTACATCCTATCAATCATAATTCCATTACATCTCTTTAGATGGGTAAATACTGGAAGAAAGAAGAACGCAAAAAACACTTGGAAAGGTCAAAGGAACGAAAGCAAAGGCAAGAAAACACAGACGGTGTTTACCAAAAACCATTTGAAAAAGTTCATTCCAGTGCAACAAAAAAAAATATCGCAGAGAATACCAACAAAAAACACAAACCCAAACGTACAAATAAGGAAGAATATCATGACTTCACAGCTGTTCAAGAAATGCTTATGCATGGCCCTCAAGTGCTCCCCAACTCAAACAGTAAAATAATGGGGTTACTTTCTGTTACAACCGTGTAGTTAAATGACAAGATGCTTTGATTTTAACAGCAAGTGTTTGCCTATTTGGAATATTTTCAAAGTTATAAATTAAAATTTTTTATAAGAGACTTAAATCTAATGTTACATTAATGTTGTGGAAGATTAATTTGCATAATATAGAATATTCCCTATGTGATGTTTTTATTTAGTGTACATATCAAAAATAAAGTTATATATTTAGAAATTACTAACAATTATTTCTGTCCCCTGACCCCTTTTCTGCAATGCATAGGTACTCATATAGAGGTCAAACTTTTGTCAACCACTGCGAAATTACAAAAACAATTGGACGCTGTTTACATTTGCTTTATTTTAAATGTTACGAAATTAACAAAGAATAAATTACTTTAACTAAATGCATTTAATCTTAGAAATAAAACAGTATGGCCGCAATTCACGAATACAATTTTTTGTGCTCCCATTTTGTTTACATTGGGCCCACACCTTGCATGATTGACCTCTAATGCAAAACCCTTTAGGTTTGGACCACAAATGGAGTAGTGAACGCTATTACAAATAATCTACATCTTCTTGGTGATCTTCAAATTCTTGTTCAATGGTCTAGTGCATTCGTCAACAACTACCAGTTTTCTTTTTTGTTCCCTCTCTAACTTCACGTTTTTTCCCCTACTTCTATTTGAGGTCAGACAGCAACATCAAGGAATTTACTCTGTTGTCTTCTGGTTGATTTGTTGTCTCAGCTGGAGCAAACATACAGCTCTAAAACACAATGGGATTATTTGGGACTAATCCAGTTGTCTGAAAGGCTTTTATAGCAGTCAGGTGTATTTCCACTGTAAGAGCTCCCAAAATATGGAGCAACTTGGAAATTTGTAAAACCTATTCAGGATGTGACTACTGACTTGAGCGAAAGTCGAACACTAAGTTGGGATTAAAGTGTCGTTCACGTATCTAAACGGGCAATTTGGGTTTACACATTTGAGGGCTGTGGTTCCAAAGTGTGTGTTCTATGTAGATATTGGCAACGGCGAACTCATAGTCGGACCATGCTTGTAAGTTTCATCTTTTAAGTTAAGATTGTTTTTGAGACACAAATTACTGTGCAGTGTCTGTGTCAAACCCTGTTTTAAGTAAGAGCCGTGAATCATCTACTTTGGTACAGCGGGATACGGCTTCAAAAGTGACTGACATGTCGTCGTTGTTTAGCAAGTCCTTGATATTAGAGACAAATCCTCAACATTTCATTTTTGACGTCATAGCGCGGCCAACATCTGCAATAATTATTATGAAAGAAATCATCGTCAGAATATATTTATTAATATGATATAGAAAGTAGGCGAAAACTACTACTAACGTCTTGCATATTGAAAATATGGCAAATAAAAATACAAATACAAAACAAGTGAGTGGAAAATTCTATGCATGGAAGATACAGAATTAAATAGAAGTTATATGAGTGCGATTGTAATAGAGAGTTAGTACGATTTGGTTTTTAACCGAGGACACTTTCCAGGTATAAAATAGGAGATGGCTTGTCCAGCATTCGAATTTTGGAAAACAACTACCTATTAGTTGTTTGCAACAAGTGTCATCCGAAAACATATTCAAAAACGTTAGACGTTGACCATAAGGTCATTCCTGTATCGTTGGAAAAAAACACACAATAGTTATTAAACAATGGCGCACACTCAAGACATTTTCTTCTGCACTGATTGCGTACAACTACATTCAAAATATCTTCATTATAGATTGTACCTACGCATCCCCCACACTGATACTGTATTTTACAATTTTTTAAAATCTTGGATTGCTTGTTCGGATTGTCATTGGGAGTGGAGAGATCTTATCTTATACTTTTGTGTACCACTGAAACTCTTGTGGCCATTGCAGTTACAAAAACGCGAACAAATTTATTTCTAAGCAATTGCTCTTCGAAATAATATCCTCGCTGCTCCTTGCGACCCGCATATCCTTTTGCTTTCAAGGTCAAGGTGATAGATTGTGTTCAGCCTAAATCAACAAAAACAACAGAAATACTTACCCAAGATCCGCACAACGGAATAGAGTAACCATTTTCCATTTCGAAATGCATTGGGAAAAGAATATCGTATTAACCTGATCCACTGGTCGATTATACTATAAGTATTGGGATTTCGCGTCGAGATCCCCGGTCCCTGGGCTGTTACTCTTCTGCCCCTCCTGACGATGGCTTTCAAAATTTGAGTCGAATATGAAATTAGTGAAGGGAACTTACGATCCCCGTGGGACACAAGATCTTGAGAATCTTTAAAAATCTCGAGATGATTTTGAGGGATTGACTCCGAAGGTAAAAACTACCAACTCATGATTCAATTCAAAGTATTTACATACTCAAAACAAAATAAAGGGGACTTACGATATTCGAAACCCAAAGGGAACGCGAAAATTTTGGGACGCTTTAAAAACTTGCATCTGCCCATGTCCGCACTTTGAAATTACTTCACTATTGTACGATTTAAATATTTAGGGGTGTCGCTAAGGGATAAAGACATTGTGCACATGCTCTGCAAAAAAGGCGAATGCCGAGCAGCACAAAACATTTTAGGTGCAATTCAATGCAGCTTCCAAACGACATTTTCTGACACTTTGTTATCGAGGTAGCCGCACTTGACATTTTGATACGCCCGCTGGAATGTTCCAGTCTCACTTTGTAGGCACTCTCTTCCGGCACTCCGTTCTGGAAAAATATAACCCATCTAAGTTCGGTCTGATTGCGGAGAATTTCGACGAGAATAAGGAACAAAACGTAGCTACCTACACTGAATTCGGCAGGATTGCGGGGATTTCGGTGAGATTTCTAGGAATTCGGAGTGATTTCCCTTGTGATTTCCTTGATTTCGGAGCGATTTCCTTGAATTCGGCTGGATTACGAGGAATTCGGCTAGATTTCGGAGGATTGCGGCGAGATTTCGGAACCAATGTACAGTGATTTCGGGAGTGGTTACCCCCCTAGGTTTGATTTTTTTAATCCGTTTCTAACACGTTAGAATCTGAATCTTGATTTCTCAGGGAGTAACATAAAGGCCTACAAAGGTCATTATTGGGCATGGGAGTAAATGCATTGCGATTCAATACTTTCTTTCTTACCAAAACCTCTTCAACGCTAATGTCTGCTGGGACGAAGGATTAATTTGTCAGACGTACATTTTACGAAGATTAAGAAATCAAAAAATATTATAACGCAGTGATTCGTGCCTTCCAATTGATTGGGAATGGAGGGTGAGTGTTTTGAAGGTCAATTTGGTGGCATTTGCTGAGGAATATTTATAAAACTTTTGCTTTTAATGCATTAATCTTTAATTTGCGGTTATTGAATTTTCTCTCAACACCAGTGACATGTAGAAAGTTTAAACTGACACTCAGGTTTTTATACCCTTTTAATTTTGTGAATGACTACTACAAGATAGCTTTGGTTAGTCGGTGATTTTCAGCATAAATATCAAGTCAAAAATTAGCTTTTTTTTAAATTCGAAGAAAATGATGTCATCAGCTGCATCGCTTGAACTGAAAGTAAAAATAGCCAGAATTTCATGAAATTTGCAGGTTAAGTACACTTTTTCGATGTTTAAGAACAAAATTGATGAACAGTTATATGTGTTTGTTGCTGGAGTCGCCAAGCAATTACTATTTCAAAATATAGCAATTTTAATTTAATTAAGTTAATAGGTACCTAACGTTGCAAAATTGGAGTTACCAGTGTCACAGCAGCAATTGTGTCATAAAATATCATATTGTTCTAGCTGTTACTGCAGTTTTTCCTATATTTATATGTATAATTTAATTAATCTATAGTCCAACTCTAATGACCCAAGTCCAACTTCACATCGCTTGTAGGAATCGAATTAATTAATTAATCCACATTAATTTTATTGGATTTTTAAATTGATTCAATTCCAAAAAGACTGGAAGCTTTTACTTTGAATTGAACTCGTTGCCAATTCAGGCAGAAGCTAACTTTTGCAATGGGTCTCTTTTGTGAATTCGTTACAGATGTCGTAATCATTTGTAAGTGTTACTTTAATCAATTGGGCTAAAGCCAAAAAATTAATTAGGGACCGGCTTTGAACGGCAATTCTTCTTTGTCAAAGTTTTATAGTTTCTCGCACGCTGACCTCGAACTGTCAAATTTGACAGTAATAGGTTGCTAAAATGTTGGTGCATAGTCTGTAATAAATGTATTCGAGCACGTATTTGATTTTCTTTGTGTAATTGTTGATCAATTAAATTCCAAATTAGGGTTATTCTTAGCCGCTTTAGTAAAGAGATGCAAATTTTCACTCGTTTCTCCAAAAGGACTGGTTATTTACTCTCGCCAAGAATGAAAAGGTGAAATAATATTCTATTTGCCGCAGGTACTAAAATTAAGTGGGTGTACGCATTCAATACAAATATATTTTAGGTGGCATCATTTCTTTGACATTTCTGAGTTTAGGTAGGTTGTTGCAACCTATTTCTTGAAGTGGGGCAGTTAGATCTAAATACAAAATTGTTTAGCATTTCCAAAAGATAAACACAAGCAACAGAACAATAGTTTGTTTGATTTCAAAACACGTTTTGAAAATAAATAACAATTAAGCCTTCCAAGTAGGTATGTTTAAATGTATGCTAAATGTAAGAATTCTTGCTATAGGGGTAGACTGTAATGACGGCACATTTTCTTCTTACCATCCTTCGAGTAAAGCAATTCAAGTACCTACATTTATCGGAATAAGCATTAATCGATGTCATAGTAAAGTAACATAATTTTGCTGGCAGTGACAGTATTACATTTTAGATTTACTTGGCGTCAACACTAGAGGTGGTTGTGAAGCACACGGCAAGTTACGTCCTCTTAAAAGTGAACTGTCGAAATGCCTTTAACTCGATAGAAAGAAATTAAATGATTGCAGAAGTAACAAGGAAAACACCCTCCATTTACAGCTTCCTATACCAGTGTTATGCAACCCCTTTTTCCCTTTGTTTCGGAACGGAGACAATAGGCCGGCCGTATATTTATAAGAAAAATGATTTCCTTTTACTTGAAAAAATCAAAGCATTTACTTCACATTTTATTCAAAACGAAAAACGAGGAAAAGGTATATATGCTACAAGCAAAAGGGGTTGCTCCAAAGGAAAAGGTTTCACTTTTTTAAAATTTATAAAAAGTGGCATTTGGTTTAAAACTGAAGGATTTACTTCAGAAAATGTGCCTCTAGATCGAAGACGCTTTTGTTAATTTACTTTATACATACAATTGTAGAGCAAAGGTGTTTAGTTTTCTAGATTTTGTTAAAATCCCAACTGTCCTTGGCGATATGGTGTACATACGCGCAAACAAAGTATACAAAGAAAACCCACTTCAATTTTCCAAACGAAGAAAGGATTTTCAAGTGGGCGGCACTTCCGCTTAGATCGCAAGTCGACACTAACTTTGTTGTTTTAAAAGACATGACTCTTTTATTCACTTTTTGTATTCTGTATCTTATTCTAATACATTAGTAGTTTTTGAGCTTGAATTCTGTACTGTTTGATTGGGAAATGATGATATTTTCCTCGTATTTTTCCATAATTAAGTTCCATTTTTGGTGTATCTGATCTGATGTTCCAATGTTAAAAAAAAGGATCAAAGGGACAACGCTATTCACACAACGCTACAATAACAACATTTTTTTAATGGAATGGTTATTTTATATTCCGGGAGAGCTGGGTCTTCAATAAAATAGGAATTTCTAATTTCTTTACTGTCCCATTCAGTATTCCAGTGTTATTCAATTGTAAAATTCGTCAGTTGATTGGTCGACATTGTTCATTATAAAAATGATTGATGAATTAAGCTGCCTGCTTTAATTATGTTTATAAAGATTATATTTTTTACCAAATTTAATATAACAAAATTGGTACTGAAGATTAATATGATTGAAATTTATTACGACAGGTTTTGAGAATTCATTAAGAAACTGTGTAACTGAATTTTAAAGGACCTAACAGATAACTTTTTTAGATTACTCGGCAAATCATTATACAGTTTCGCAATATTATAGGTAAAGGACCTTTCAAATAGTGTTGTTTTGTGGAAGGGAGTTTTCCAATGGTATGCAAAAAAATCAACTCAAACTATACCGTCTTGGTGCAATATTTTTAGTAAAAAATATTTTATAATAGTGTTCTCTTTTGGCCTTTTTTGAATAAAGCATTAAGTGCTTTGGTGAAATCAAATCATCCTCAAAGGCGTTTTTGATCAAATGTGAAAATGTTAATCAACTGTGCGGTTTTGTTTTAGTGGTTAGAATGGCGATAGAACAAAAGTTAATACCTAATCGATAGAGATAAAGAATTTTATGCTCTACAAAAAAGGTAACCACGCCTTTTTCAATAAAAGGACTAGTTTTCCTGTAAAATTCCAAAAACTAAAAAAAATGCACCGTTAGGGGTAGCTCACCCTCTCCCGCAATAAGGGGGCAGATGGCTCCCCTTCTAAAAATGTTTCTTTTGGTCCAATATGCAAGTGTGCAAAGTGACTTGCTTTAATCATCAAACGCCCTATAATCGCATTTTTCGACTTGTAGGGTTAGGAGCTCGGTTGGGACTATAATGCATACCTAAGAGATAGGTATGAATGGGACCACCTTATATGAAAAGAAGCACAATTTTACGACCTTTCAAATGCCGTAAGTAAAAAATAGGCAATCTATTTTTAAACAATTTTTGTTATTTTTGTCATTGGACGAACGCCCCTCAACTCATTTTCTAATATTTGAATATCAGATCAGATACACCAAGAGTGGATATCAATGAAAGAAAATTTTTAAATCAAACAGTAAGTTCAAATTACTTTCAGTCAAAAAACCGGAAATGTATCAACGAATTTTAAAATTATACAAATTACGGGTAAGATATCTAAATTCCAAATTATTGCGAAAACACCCCTAAAACGGTACCTGTGCAGGGCACCGTTATATGCATACGAATGTATTAAAGTAATATGACGGTATAATTTGTGTAATTAATTAAATAAATGAAAGGCAAAAGTAATAATGACGAAATATGATGAAACATTAATGGATGGAACTGTCTCGAATGTTCCCGAACTATGAGTGATCACGCGTACATGATTGTTTACTTGTTTTTGTTTCCACTAAGATTAGTCATACATAATACAGACTACCAACTTAAAGTGAAAGGAAATCGGTACAAAATGTACTACGTATTATGATTAATTAATGTGGTACCCCTGAAGAGCATTATAAGCATATTTTGTGAAATCGTATATATAAGCAAAACGTGTATTACGTATTTAAACTTGATTGAAAGTTAGAAGTGTGTGTGCGTTCATAAAACTGGTAAGTTGACCTTTTCTCTAGATTTTGTTTACATATTTGTTGACTACTAACAGTACATAGATGTTTTCCCAAAATTTTTCTTGGGGATTCTCGGAATTACTGGCTATTTAAAAAATAAGCTGCGATGAATTCCAATAATCCCAGAAAATACCTACTTCTCAATGCACGCATCTTCAGCAATATGAGATTGTTTTTATGTATTTTTGTTAGCCGGCCAAGGTCTCGGTTATCAATATTCAAAGATAATCGCATTTCCTAGTGTACCTATTTATAGACTGTATAGTTACCTACTAGATCGAGGACAGGTAAGCGGGGCCAAGGTAAGGTGTTCTGTCGGGTCAGCCAAAAGTTCATGTTCATATAGGTATGGCTGGCTGTAATTTGGTCAAAATGGCCTAAATTGAAGCTGTTTGTGCGATTATTGCGTTTCAAAAGTTTTTCAATATTTTAATTCCACGAAGCAATCTACTAATCCGGGTTTATCACAAAGCCGCCAAAGCAATTATTCAGTAATATTAAAATTCTTAATTAGTCATTGTCAGTCACAATTAATGTATGGATCTATTACAATTTGGTCAATGACGGTTACGGGGAATCACTGGTAAATTATTCAATCTATGTTTATTGTGTCATTAGCAGACGGAAAAGGTCAATTATGTTCATTGCACTAACATTTACTGTAGAAGAAGAAACGACGTAAGTATATTAGAGAGTAATTGAGCAACTTTCACTTCACCTTGCTTTGCTTTACTGCATCCATATTGTTTCACATAGTGTAATTTCTACTTCAGCTCATCATGGCCGATGGTAATGTAATGAATCTTAAAATCTTCCTAAAAGGGGATACCCCCGATGAAGTTCGTCGAATAACCGTAGATGCATCGGTTGCTACAAGCTTCATATTTATGAAAGAAAAACTTCAAAGTGTTTTCCCCATTTTGCGAAATTCTCCGTTCAAGATAACATGGAAAGGTAATTTTACAATACATTGTGGTTGATCGACCTATTGACTTGTTAAATATTAGATATTGACGATGACGAAATCACAATTGCGTCTGATGAAGACTTTATTACTGCATTTACGGAGATGAATGGGAATGTTAAAATATTGACCGTAACAGTTTCAAAACGTGCTGTTGAGTCTGGGATCTATGTTTGCGCCGCTTCCGAGGGTAAGACGAGACGACGTGCTTTACAGAATATAACTTCAAAAATTTTTTTAGAGCCTCCAAAACCGTTGATAATTTGTGACGGTTGCGACCGAAGCATTCCAGGGTTTCGCTATAAGTGTTTGCAATGCCCTGACTACGATCTCTGCGGGAACTGCGAGTTTCAAGGGTGTCACTCCAATCATGTCATGGTTCGTTTGCCCCACAATGAAACTTACTCGCCGCGATGCGCGCGTAAGTTCATGCACCATATTGCGCGAAACTTGAAAAAATCGGCTCACTGCGCAAGCAAAGAGGCCCATCGGGCAGCTAAACATGCAGCGAGATACGCCTCAAAATGTAGACAAACAGACTCGTCGGCTGAAGAAGACGACCAAACACCAAGCTGCCCTTTCACCGCAAAGGACGCCCACGAGTTTGGAACATTTGCCCAACAGACATTGTAAACTATTCACTTTGCATTAAGACACTTTAACATCACAATTTTCAGGTCGGAGATCTTTAAACCAACCACTTCGTCTGGGACCCAAGCTAATGACGACAAGGATCAAGGTATGATTCTTATGGATGTTATACGAAATGTTGTGGATGGATTTTTTGGTACGGCACTCCATATTGTTGCTTATGTTATACATTATGTCTGTTAAATAGGTCACCCGACTTCGGCAACCTCTAATAGCCAACAACAGACGGATGCCTCCCCTAAGACCACATCCGAAAATCCACCTGCACCAATGGAGACCGAAAATTCACCTTCCGCCCCTATCTATCCAGTACTAGATCGAGATCTACCAAATTCAACAACCCCAGGATCTGGTTCGCCGTCTATGGCTACCGCTGGATCTGCCACCCCACCGGAGAACAATAGGAATCCGGAGTGGACTTTTGTTGCTTCAAATAGCCAAACTGAGAACAACAGCAATACCGCCTCACAAACTAACCAACCTAGAGTTGCATTTATTTACCACGAAAGTAAGCCAAAGCTACCTTAGAAGCGATCCATTACTGATTTCAACTTTTAGATCCAGTTATAGCGGAAGGATTGGTTAAATTGCACGAAATGGGATTTTCTAACGAAACTGGAGTGCTTAGCAATCTTCTTGAACATTTCAACGGAAATGTTAATGACGTAGTTAAGGCTATTTTTGATAGAAATATTTAAACATCGATCTTTGCCACTTTTATACTGTATATTCATATATTGTTTAGTAGTGGGATAGTATACGATAATATGTAAAATGTAGTTAGTTACCGGAATGGGTTTACTGTATTCAGCACAATTAAATAAACACCTACAGATATACCTAAGCTTGCCATGTTTTCAGAATGTAGAGACAATTTTGAAATTACAGATATCTCGAGCAGTGGTGGACTGGAGGGACTTTTCACCCGATCGTCATTTAAATTAGGTTTTCTTTAGTTGAATAACTAAATCAAGAATAACAAAACTCATCATGCTCATATTAGGGTAATCGAAAAACTTATGTACAAGTTAAAAAACTTCTTGATAGAACAGCTTCCTAGCTCGAGGTAAATATTTAACAAAAAATAAATTCCTAAAAGAAAATTTTTGTTGACAGCAATTTTTTTCCTTTAGAACGGTAACTTCTCGACAACGGCAATGCCTCGTTGAAAACGCCGCGCCGGTTCTCGTCGCATCACCGAAATTCTTGGATGGGGACCGCTTGGGAACTGGGCAGCTTGGGAAGTTTGTTTAATTTTTGCTCATGTTTGTCCATTGATTTTATTTATTTTTTTATTTTAATGTCACAAGGCATCAAATAATTAATAATAATTCCTAATTAGAATAAATTTAGTTTTTGCGAAACAACATTTTAGTTTTTTAACTTTGACATTTTTTCTAAGTTTTTTTGTAATAAAACCTGGCTCAATTTTTGTAGGTTGTACACAGAAATATAAACGCTAATAAAAAATTTTAGGTTAGGATTTTTAAATATTCTTTTACTATCTATATTTTTAAAATGGCAAACCGTTCGCGAGTTGTCATGTACACAGACAAACGCACGGACGGACAGAAAGTGCAAAATCAAATCATGAACGAGCATTGTCGCTCGTTAATAATGATTCTCTGGTTGTCGACGATCGCGCGTTAAACGTAATATAGGAAATGAGTAGCACAATTTTCATGTACGTTCACTCCTGAGGCGTACGGTAGACGACATTTGGACAACTTCTGAACTCAGGCTTTTTGGTAAAAGGTCCATTGCCATTTACCGATACAGGAGTCGAGTTTCGAGAAATGGAACTCAATCGCATCAGTTGTTAAAGGTGAAGGAACAAGGAAACTTTATCGACACAAGTACTCAGGGAAGTGGGAAGCTCCAGAGCCTGGACCACCCCTACCTACCTAGTTGGGTTGGACTCTGAGGGGTTGTGAAATTAGCTTGAAAATGGGAAAAAGAATATAAAATGTGCGATTTATTTTCCTGGTACTTTTCATGATTCGCTGAACCGGCACTTGAAAAGTTAGTCAACTTATATATAAGTCTTAGTGTGTATCGTCCGTGATCGACACGGGGTTTGCATGGACACACCTCTTCTTCCCTGGCGACCTTTGTTAGCTCTGAACCCATCCAACTCACTTCTGGCTTCTCCTTTGGCCCATAGATATACGAAAGTACATCGAAACAGTGATTTTCCTCTCGTGATTCTTTTTCCTGATCGATATAGACCATGGGTACCCGATAGGTATCGGCGTCCCTTATGCATTGCCCCCTTACTCAAAACAATCACGGCGTCCCGATTACTTTGAAGCTCATATGCATTTCAAATATTACGCAAACAATTTCGAGATGCTCTCCACCTTATAACACATAATTTCTGTAGAATTAAATAAACAAATTACAACGCCGCTATAAACACAAATTAAACATCGTGGAGATAATTAAAGGCCGCGTACTGAATGCTAAAAATTAAAATAAACATACATTTTTGCATAAACAAAAGGGTGTCAAAAAGCAAGACTATTAATAATGTTATTAATTGACACTTGACTTGACTAACCAAATTATTTTTGACAAGTGAATAAGAGAGACAGACGTCAAAACGACTTATTTTTTATACGGACAAAATGTGAAGGTGGTGTAAAGAACGCAAATAAATCAGAAACTATAAGAGATACAGAAACACCTTATATAAAAAAGAAGCAGAATTTACTATTTTTTAAATCCCGTAACAAAGAATAGACATGCTATTTAAAACAGGTATAAATTGTGCACAACTCTTACGCAGATAAAGCGCATTTTTTAAAAACCGAAGTAGCTTATAGTAAATGGTTTATAAGGTAGTAGCGTGCTATATATTTATAGAAGTTTGCTTTCTTGGTAGATGATTAATGGGGAGGAAGCTGTTTACACATAAACATTTAAAGGCATACATTCAAAACCAACGCTATATAATGCTAGAAGAATCCAACCCTCTGACAAACCGTTGTCCTAATATTCGCTTTTAAAGCTTTGGCGTCACCAATGGATACATTTCTTCTAGATGTCTTAAGTGTCCATGGTGAGTACTTTCCTCCGACACTTGATATTAAGGAATTACATCCGATCACAATAAGGGGTCGAGGAGAGGGCTATGGTTAGTAGAAATTAATTCGTTTCGTTGAAACCTTCTATTAGAGTAGGTACCATGAAGAGTAGGTACCAGAAAACCAGTTCCACTCCCTCTCTTGATAAGGAGTCAGATAAACAGGGGGTTAGGTGGTAGAGAACAGTGTTCCTTGTGTTGAAACCTTTAATTAGAATACCTACCGTTTGAGATACATTGTCATATTTACAAACCAGTTCATTTACCTGAGATTTGTCATTACAATAGGGTAGAACGTGTCTTCGCCCCCCACCCCTTCCCCACCCACCACTTATCAAAAATTGTACTTGGTACCGCTAAAAGGTATGCACACTTTACTTGGGGAGGAGGGGGGGGCTTAAGACAGTGAAATTTGATGGCCGTCTGGCGCATCTTCATGATATAGGCTACTTACTTACTTACTTACTGCAAACAATTCCAGGACTCCTAGTACAATTCCCCTAAAAGTAGTTCAACACGGCAGAAGTGAGTCCGGACGGACCAACAGATAAAACGCAAACAATAGCACATTAATAATAATGCGCTAAAAATGATCTTGAACGGTCTCCCAAAAACGTCTAAATGACGCTCTTCGTTAAAGACTCTGCATAGAGAACACTATCGGAAGGTGGTAGTTACAGAGGAAAATTGGTTGATGTGGACCACACGCATCAAGTGGCTGATTGTAGGAAGAAAATATTCGCAAAGGGAAATTGGTTGACCAGGTCCATGCACCTTACTTGAGGCCAAAACTTCAAATGCTAATATCTCGAGAACGGGCCATCGAATCATTGTTATCTGGACAGATCCCATAGATTCTGCATGTTATATAAATCCTGTGGATGTGAGAGTGAGTGTCTTGCTTAGATATACAAAATAATAAATCCAAATATTTTTATTTTGCACACCGAATGCTACCGATTTACTACAAGTCAACCAATCCCGATGATTTCATAAGCATCAACATTGGTTTATATAAAACTTCAGGCGCATTAATACTATATAAATAATCAACATGATTAAGTTTGGGATCCGATACCAGAAATTTGCCCCTAAGGTTTCCGAGTCTAGCAGCCAATCGATTAACATCAATTTCACTACTCAGCCAATCATTTCGACTGTAATAAAGGTAGGTGGGTGCAACTATGTTTTCTAATTTATAGTCTGGTGGTACGCTCCGGTTGTATTTCTGCCTGTTCTCAACACTACCATAGTCATACTGGCGAAATTTACCTAAAAAAATCGAATTACTTTAAAGTCATTAGTCGAGGAGCAACCTGATTTAATTTCTTGTGCGTAGTGTAAAAATTGCTTGGTTGATGCTCCAGCCGGATTGTGAGCCATTATAACTGGTAATAACGTAGAATTCATTTGTCTCTGATTAAATCCACACATTGCAAAATAAGAATTACTGCATAAGATTTGAGTTACAGAAATGTCTGAACATAAGTAATGGCTGGCAACCGCCAAGAATTTTGTGTTAGGTAAAAATTCATTCATACCAATTAAACTCGCAAGAATCTGCAAGAAGGATTAGAAACCGTCATACTGAAGCACAAACTTACTCCTAAAGGGACTTCTCCTCGAGCAAGTACGTGCATCAGTGGACTAAGTAAGTGGTTCATATAACCGACAGGCGACAAACTCAGTTGCATATTGATCTTGTCGTTATACTCCGGTTTTTCTGAGCAGAGAACGTAAAATACCGTAGTACCTTGGGAGTGGCCGATGTAAGTTAAGTTCTCTTGGTTAGTCTGGTTTAGAATATAATCAATCATGGCAGGTAAATCGTAAACCGCAATTTCGTGAAAACTAAAATCCCAAAATTTTGGTTCCTTCGTGTTAAGCCAAACGTGTTTGCGAGAATATCGATTTCCACGTACATTTCCAAGCCACACGTCAAAACCGGCGTCAGACAGTAAATATCCTTGAATCAATTTATCAGTTTGTGACTTAGTGAGCTAATTTACCTAAGGCCTTTCCTGGTCCCGGAATTAACCAATCGGCAGATGATGACAATATGCCATGCTGCACAAAAACAGCCGGTTTCAGTTTGTCGCGTTGATGATTTTTGGAACTTGGAATGCGATGCAAAGTTAAAATGTAACCATCGGACGAAGTAACCGAATGCGACTCGCAAGGGTACCCGTATTTACGCACTAGTTCTGACTGTAAGACACCATTATTTTACAACAAAGTTAGATAAGTGGATGGCTTTACCACTGCCAAAAGGGCATCTTCTTTAACTGTACTGGGAAGTGACTTATAAAATGTCTGCACCTTTTGGAAGATTGCCGTAATATCATAGTCTACATTCTGAAGAAATGCCAAATCGGATAACCTGGGGATTGTTGGAAGAGGAGGTAAAGAAGGCAAATGAGGTATTAGAACAGGAATTTGAGACTTTGAGTGCACTATTATTATCATAAACACTAATAATATATTCAAGGGATGCATCTTCGTAACTTATCGCAACAAATATTCGTGTAGGTATCAGTACTAAAGATAACTTACTACTTACATATACTGCTTTATCGTAAGGAGTCGAAAGCTATCAAAATTATGAACAAAATTAGAGTAAATGATTTAATAACTAACAAAGCATATAATTAAAAGGTCATTAGCTTAACTATCTGAGGAATAATATGACAATTGTTTGTAAATACCGTGACGTTCAAGAATTACGAGAGGAAAATTTCGCAATCATGTAACACTAATCGACCTTTATATGATGAGTGCATGAGCAAATTACGAAACATGTATATATAAAATACCTACTCTTAGAAATCAGACCCGTTTTGAAATATACACGCACGATCTTGCTATAATTCCTAAGAGTGCCCTAATTACATCTATACACATTCGCACAATTGCCAACCAGAACGGCGGCAGAGAGGTCCTTGGGCTTATGATATACAAAAATGTTTCTCATGTGAATGGTTACAGCAGCTTTTGCATGAAAAAAGATTAACTTAAAAAAATATTTTCCTCGTTAAAAATACACATGGATCACTTTTTGGGTATCGAGCAATCTAGTTTGGTCTTTTTCCCAAGAAAATTGGTGATAATCGGCATCGGCATCTTTTAGCTAGAAATATTTTGGTTACCAAAAATGGATACGGATTCTTCGGTATCATGCAATAGAGTTGACTCTTCTGGGCAACATGGTGATGGATGCCAAAGTTAGTTCTTGATAGTTGCACATCTTAAACCCATAAGTTTTCACTGAGGACAGTTTTGACTGAGGTATAACGCGGAACGACGCACAGAAGTACTGAAAAGTGAGGACATAACCGCTAAAAAGTGTTTGATGTAAAAATAAACAATGTCTTTTTCCCAGCTTTTTAATTAGGTTTGTATTATAGTACCTACTGAAAACATGCTTAATTTATTTTACATAATTTTGTCAATAAATAAAAAAAATTCATAAATAAGAGAATTTAGAGAATGAGGAGGAACAGGAAATTAGTAGAATTAGGGGAATAACTAGATATTTTTTAAGTTAATATGAAGTATAATTAGAGGAACTAGTGCAGAATACATTAGTAAAAATTAAAATTAGTAAACAAATTAAAGGAGTTAGTAACAAACCTGGGAACTTCTTTTTTTCGCGGTTTATACCAATCCCATGTAATTCTCACCTCTAAAAAGCATTATGCGGGTCACTCTGTAATTGGGTGCAAGCCTGTTGAGGGCCCAGAACAAGAGAGGGTTAATAAATAAATAAATAATAAATAATTCTCCTTAATTGTCCCCCCATTACGCTGTCAGGCGCGATAAAATGCAAATTACTGAAGACTCTCGAATGGATAATGCATTTTTGAAACTACGTTTTTTCGGGCGGTCGGATTGTCTTCAGAGGCATATAGGTCAACTGTGCAAAGTTTGAACCAAATCGATCCAAGCGTTTGACAGTTATCGTGTTCACGGACAGACGGACACCATCGACTCCCCTATAAAGCTTGCATCGCTTTGCGCTGTCGCTTAATAAGAGGTGTTTGGGTTTTATCTTTCGAGATAAGCGAGGATAGGGACCGTGTGTACGTTTGGCAGACGGCAGACGAGGTAATCCTTTAAAAGAGGAAACACGTACTATGCGTATGCGAAAAATAATATTTTATCTCTTCGATTTTATAGACATCATTATGCAGAAAACTCAAAGGTAATTGATTGGATTGGAATTTTTTGAATTGTATAAATTAGTGGTCGGTTATTTGGAATTTGCAGATTGATTTTGTTTAAATTTGGTTATCTTAAAGGAATCGACCTATGCGACCCATTTTTATAGTATTTATAATGTGGTAGTTTCCCGTTGCTTTCCACATCCTATGCCGTTGATCTCTGATGACTCATCCGCCTTTAGGAGCTTTTTTCTACCCTCAAGAGCAATAGAGTGCCCTACCCCCAACCGCTCATCCGCCCTTTTCAAGAAGTCGTTGACACTTGATGAAGGGGTGACTTCTTATACCGAAAGTACTAACATTTGTAAATTGACATTGACATTATTCACCCCGAGCCATCTAATAGACCCTAAATATCGATACTTAATCAAATTCAGAATTGATCAAAATTCTCAAATTTTTGACAAGAAATAAGCGCTTTTGGAACAACGAGCAACATTTTCTACTCGCCTCATATATAATTAAGATTCGACCGGCAGCCAATATACACAGTAAAGTACGCATTACTGATGCTACCCCCGCATGGCACGAATTTTGTAGTTCTATTTGCGATTACTACAAAAACTTAATCTGCCCACGCTAAGTATATTGTTACAACATGCCTACTCTACGATATTGTAAAATGTAAATATATTATAAAATACAATGAGAAAGATTACTATAGTGTATTCTTTCTATATGGTACACACGGAGACAAATAGGTACTGAAAATTTTAATATACCTTATCAGAAGATATAATTAGAAGTGTGTGACATAAGGATTCATCATTAAAAAATTGGGGAAAAACCAAAACCAATTTGTAACTCTGGTAATACATCAATTTAATGAGTCATGTCATGATTATTGTACTACCCACAAGATCTATAACATAAAAACAAAAACAAGCAAAATAAAGATGATTGCATTAAAAAATTAAAACGCATTCAGAATATGTACAAATTTTGATCATATTCTCTTAAGAAGCTTGCCAACATAGACTGTTGCAGTTTTGGTGTAAAAATCTACATACAAAATTGATAACACCTGTTGAATGTAATGCCAAAACAACCAGTAGTCACATTTATTACTTAGACACACGGATATGTAACTAAGTTGCACAATCTTTGATCTTAATTTCGTGAAAGTGCCACTCTTAGGGTAAAATAGTGATGCATTGTTAAATTAAAGATATTTCCAGGAAGTATAAAACTATCTTTAGAATAAGTAACCCAAAGTTTTACTTTCACCAGATGGCAGAGTTAACTTCTATTTTAAACTGAACTTGTATAGTCTGCCAAATTTCTGTCTAAGCGGTAGTTTTCAAGTAATCGTGTTAGTAGATTCAAACAAGTGGAAGTGGATATTTGAAAGCGGCATGTCTGACAAAGATGCGGATGGGCTTTGTTTTCAAAGTAAAGTACATGTTGTAAAATTACTTTTTTGCTTAGTATTTAATAACATTTAATTCATTAAACCTCAATATTTTTGTCGTGTGGACTTCTTTCTGCACAGAAACTATTTCAAGCATGTGAAGAACTGGCTATTTGTAGACTATAGTGGAATTTCTCATCTTCAACTCTACTCGTTCCAAAAACCTGTGTACTATTCGCAATGGTCTGTAAGGTGCAGGTCTTCTTGGGTACTCAAATACGTACTTAATGATGAACTTTGTTCAAATTTAACATTTGTAACACTTTCGCTTGGAAATAATTCACAGAATTCAATGTCTCTTTTACACCAAAATGAAAACAAAGTAACGGTTAGCGGTATTGTTGAAGTATAATTTGTTTTTATTACAAAAATTGGCGCAGTGCCACGATTGCGTTAAAATTTTCTGATAATCATTTTTTATGCACAGATCGGAAGTTATTCCGGAAATTAAATATCAAGGACCCCCTCATCAGTAACTATGAAGGTAAAATGGTGCTTAATTTAGGGCTATAATATCTGAATACGTTTTAGTGACCCAACACATAAGTTCACAGCCCTCTCTAATAAATCAACTAATTCACATGATTTGGGTAAGTATGACGAGCCCTCATCGTAGTAACCCTAACATTCCATTAATCATGTTTGACGTTTTTTTATGGGATCTAGGTAAATATAAATTCAAGTTTTGGCACACTATATTTTTGGCGATAGTAATAATTTTTATTAAAAAACTGAAAGACAGTTGTTCATTTTCAATCAGTACAACTACAAAGAAATTTTTAAATCCGGACGTTTTTATCCGATTTGGCCGCTCGTACCTACATTGGCAGCTTTGCCTAGATTATGTCTGTCAGTACTTTGGTATTAAATCAATTTGTGCATTGTCACAAATCACATGAGCTGCACTACGAATAAATAATTATACACAAATGTTCTTATGACTACTAAAATAGTACAACCACCGTACTGTTTTTTTAATCGTGTTGGACGACTGCCAAAATTGCACGTTTTTCGTCAAGTGTTGTACAACTTTGTTTATATTTACGACCGGTCATCGTAATTTTCACAGTCACCGAATCACGTTATCGACAATCATTAACTCATATAGCGCTTAAGAGTCCTAATTTCAATATTTCGTACCACAGGATTCAGAAGAAATAGATTTTTGCAGTTGCGCCATAAATATGCTTTATAGTCTTCTGTGTCTGAGCAATGACGAAGAAAAGCAGCTAGCAATGAAAACTGTAAACGCATCGGAACATTTGAATATTCTAACACACTGCACCTACAACACACATGCCAAATTTTGCGAACTAAAGGAATATAGGGACTCCTTCCCCGACATGCAAATTAAACTTTTGCACACAATCACGACAATATACCAAGTAAAAAAATGTAATTCTTTCGGAATATTATAAGTACTGGAATAATGAAACCTCCAATTTCAGGTAAAAAGCTAACAATAGCTGCTAGTGAAGCTACTGTCCGATTCTACAGTCTTCTGGTAACATCTCAAACTACACACAAGGATTTAATGTTACATCTATTACCTGTTTTAAAAATTATCTGCCTTAATAGTAAGTATTTATTAGCTAAACTAATTTTAAGTGTGGTAGGTTATGGTATTTTTGGGAAATATCCTAATAATCGCCATCTTAAAGTGACCAACTGGAAAAAATTAAGTAGGTAATTGTTTATAATTTTGTCCAATCATGTCACCAAACTGTGAGTACATATACTTATATGAAAATTGTAAGTAATGATTCGCGTTGACAATTACACTAATAAAAAATAAAGCACTACTGTTTTCCCTTATCGAACATGTGAAGCAGTTTTTGAATTACGTTATTCCCATAAAAAATAACACTACTGCGATTTAAACCGATTATCTTTGAAAATACAAAAATTGGACACCCGCGCCTATGTCCACGTTTCAGAAACTTTGAATCTCGTAGTATTTGACATCACCCCGAATCACTGCAACAGGTGGAAACGTTTCACAGTGCCCGTAACCTGTCCAATGATGTGCGTTTTGATAGTATAATGTCACATCCGGTGAAATAAATCCCGTGGAATCCAAACATCCTATAATCCGCCTAGAGGTAACAACATCTTAGTTTCAGTGCACTTCCAAACAACTTTCCCTCCGATAGAGACGGAATCGTTGATGGTAGATACTTGCAAAAGCATCGATACAAAATTTGGAAATACTATGTGAATTCGTATGTAAGACCAATTTTCAATCTTGATCGTAAGCCCTGCATTAAATGACAGTTTTTCCTGTCACTGTTACTTCGTCGTCTTTTTTTAGTTTTCTGCTATATGCAAATTTTATTTTGCCGTCGCCACTCTTTCTTTTCATATCCACGTATCATCTCCTCTCTTTAAGATCGTCTACCATCTTCACTCGTCTTCTTTATCTTTTCCTTGTACCGTCGACGGCGCCTTCGATCATGTCTTTCAGCAAAATATTCCCGCTTAGCAGATGACCAAGCCACATTCTTTTCCTTCTCAAAATGTGTTACAGAAAAATCTTTCTTCTCCTATTTTTTCTAGTACTTACCTGTTCGTTCCTAATCCTCTCAGGCCAGTTTATTCCAAGCATTCTTCTCCATATCCACATTTCCATAGCTTCAATTCTATTCTTTTTTTTTCAAAATTGTCCACGTACAGTATAACAACTTTCCCTGACAAACGCTTCTTATTCCAATACGCGTCTGTATTTCTTTCCAGCTTCTCTCACATGTTCCAGTGCTTCCTAGATATTTACAAGTTTTGTACCTGTTCCAGCATTTCATCTTTCACATACATGCATTTCTTCTGCCTCTCCAATTCCTTTAGTCCTTATTTTGATTTTCAATTAAACCATATTTCTTTTCCCCATCTTCAAGTTGTGTATTAATACTTTGTATTTTCTGCAAAACAAGAGAGTGGCATCAGCACACCGAATGGATATAACTCCTCCCTCTCCAATATGTATCACCTTTCCAACACTTTGTATTCCATGTACTCAGCGTAAATATTAAATAATGTCGGTGATAAAAGACACCGGCCTTACCAAGTTCAGACCAATACGTTTCGTTTCTGCCCACTCTCAATGCTGCCTTCTATCCTTCCAATCTACACTTTTTTTTCTTTTCTTTGAAAATGTCATTCAATTTTTCCCACAGAACACAATCAAATGCCTTTACTAGGTCAACGAAACTCAGATTTCTTCCTTTGTGCATACCTATCGTTCTTATACATCCAATTACATCTCTTGTCCTTATCCCTCTTCTAAATAAATTCGAATTGCTCTTCTGCCACATTTTCTTTCATTATCCTCTCGAGCCTTCTATTATCCTCAACAATATTTTCGCTGCATGTCCTACCAGGCTGTTTGTTCTATACTCACCATTCTTCTTTGTTCCTTTCGTTTTAACCAGAGGTATCATCAGAGTTAATTCCTTCATTTCTTCTTCCTGAAGACACCTTAATATCTCTACTGAAATTCCATCTATCAACGTAGCTTTATACTTTGGTAAACATAATTCTGGCCCCTGTGCTATCAAGACAGAGCGATTCTTCGGTTTCTAGTTCCATTGCCTTGGTTTTTCATGTGTTTTATAGAGATCTACCATATACTCTAGAATTCCTTTCTCTTCGTTCAGTACTTTTCCATTCCGGTCATTGCTACAAGCAGATCTTGAGCATCTGTCCCAGGTAAGCTCTTTAACCCTGTTGTAAATAACATCGTGCTTTTCTATTTCATTACATTGATTTTCCCTAATGTTGCCGCCAGACGAGACGAGACCAATTCAAAGTCTCGTCTCGTCTCGTCTAGTCTCGTTTGGTCTCGCGTGGTCTCGCCATACTATTCAAAAATGGTGTAGAGCATATAAAAGACACCACGAAGCGTGACAAATAATAATCACCTTCCTTATCTATCTGCTAATCACGAAACATAATTATGCGGATTTTCTTTACCATTCAGCAGCAAAAAAATATTAGCTTTCATAAAATGCGCCACAGTTTTGCCGGTTCTAATGACCCTTCTCACGGGACGGCTTTTCCTTTGCATGTATAAAAAAGGTAGCCGAAGCTTAGTTTGCGTTGGGTCCGTGTCGGGTTTTTAACTCGGCGATTATATTAGGAATAATTGGGTGGGAGATTGAGATCCTTCACCGACTTTTCCAGGCGAATCTATGCAAGTCAAGTGCGGCAATTCGACAAAATTGTTGTTGTGTGTGCTATTTAAATTCATTGGCATTATGAATGGAACTAATATAAAGTGGCGAAACTATACAAAGGGAACTTCGTTGCATAGAGGAATCGACAACCGGTAAAATGTTGAAAGACGATTAATTAGTGCTCTTGCTAGCTAAAACCCTGAGATCATAAGGTAAAATTGACATTTCCATATTGCGGAATAGTGGTAAATTATCCCAGTGAATTAACCAAAGGCGATACAAAAGGTCCAATTGTGTTGAACAAGGCGTTCCACCATGCAATTTTCCGAATTGCCGCTACCTTTCAAAAGGAGAAAATCGACTGTAATTTCGACGCATAGCTAAATGTGTTAGTTAAAATTTTTACATTGTATAAAAACAGGAGTCGACCGTTTTAGGAAGTTTAATTAGAAATTTATGCTCGAAGCCAATTTAACATTCCTAAAGAGGTCGACCCACGGAATATCGGTGGACAAGTGTTAAAAAATATTTAAACCTCCCGAGCTTTTCTGTTGGGTCAGATATGACATGCTATTGACAATCATTGGAACAGTTACTGCTTACAGTTGCATTTGGGCCGACTTTGGGCATGTGCAAGGAAAACTTTCCACGTAATACCAGTTCCAATGTAAAATCCCAGGAAAGGGATCCGAAATCCGGCATTGGAAAAGTGGGAATTTTTCATTTATCATTTCTAGTAAATCAACTGTAAAAAGATTCTCCACCTAAACTTACTGGGTCATGAGTATTTCAAAGGAATTTCTTAGGTTCATCGTAAGCGCTTGAGATGTAATTAGCGTTACTTATATCTGATTGGAAGTTTATTACCGAACTGTTGCTTGCACTTTTATTGTTGGTTTATTAATTTTTTGCATTAACAGAATCAAGCAGTGAAGATTTCTATGCATCTCGAGAAGTAACCACCATCGAACATTACTTTAAAGAAAAAGTGCATCTTGCACTTCAAAAGCCAATAAAATACAATAATGTGGAATCAGTCCACCAAACAACATTAAATTAACAACATTAATTAAGTGCGTAATATAGTTCTCGAGTCCGGCCAAATGTGCTTAACCACATAATTTAAACGTCATTTTATATGACAAATTGATCCCTTTTTCCCAACGTAATTGGTCGGTTTAGTCTTGTGTACATTGAAATTGGTGTAGCACAAATATAAATTTTTAGGAATCGAATCACCTCGACCACTGCCTTCAGATTAAACTGTTGTTTGATCAGACTAAAGACTTTTTCTCAAAGAAAAGTGATTACGAAAAATAGTTTGCACAACAAATGTCCTCTTTTAAAACAAACACCATAAAAACTAATTACTCAATAATACATGCCCTAGTGCAATACATACAGCTAGGTATAATTATTTCCAAATCATTAGGTATCATTCTGAATCTTGCTCAACGTAGGTAAGTGTATATACGGCGTGTGTAAAACCATAAAGACGTACCTCTAGCTATAAATAGCTCATGGAAGGTATAGGGTATCTACTAATTTAGCATACAAGAACAGGTATATGGGGCCTTTATAGTCTGAAACTAATTAAAACTCGTTAATTTTTTTTTACAGAGAAAAACAGTGAAATTCTATCCTCTCAAAGTTTTTTTGATGGTCTCTATGTGTGTTGTAAATTAACGCAAAAAGTGTCGACAGTGGTATTAATTCTAAAATTAATGTCTCGTAGCGGTATGTATAAATGGAATCAAATTTTACTTTAAACAACACGAAATATTTTGCAGCTGTCGCAGCGCAATGCATGTCTAACCATCGAAAAATAATCAATTTGGTTACAAACTTAGTTAATTACAATGGCAAGCGGGCAACTAATAAGCGGTCGTTAATGACGATTTTGTACAGAGTCACCGCAACCAGTAAGTAAGACACACATTCTGTTTGCACATTTTGCGATTTGGTGTAGGTTCCGGGCTAAGCCTGTTTCTGGAAGCTGATGGGTTTAATACGCTGTTTCAGTTTTTTACAAACTGTAATAATAATAATCGTCTAGCTGCTATAAAGGCGTACACCATACTGTATAGGACAGTGCCAAGTCATCAATTGCCCCAAACTACACCGAGCATTTCTCGAGGCTACTTAGGTATAATGCACCTACAAACCCCATTGAACTTAAATTCGAATTGCAGAAGAAGACGAAGAAGAAGAAGAAAGCTCGGAAGAAAGTGATTTAGATTCGGATGAAAGCGAGGAAGAACACCAAGATGACGATCTTGCAGAAGAGCAGTCTCGTGAAAAAAACGTTTCGGAGGATTGTGAATCAGACAAGTAAATTTATCCAGGTGGTTGTAAGTCCAACCAAACATTCTATGGTTGCAGTATGGGTTGCTTCTTTACCGAACTTACCGATGTCAACGAAAATTTTGCAATGCAAATAAGTGATTCAGATTTTTCATTTTGCCAAGGAAACATTACGCATCGTGTTTTCAATCCTAAACATATGAATAAGCAAGCCTATCCAGATACTCTAAACCTAAAGGCCAGTTATGAAGAACATTATTTAAATTCCTCAACAAACGATCTTTCGCGGTACGCAAGTAGTTGTTATTTCGTTTATTTCTTATTTTCTTATAGGGAGTATTTGACATATAAGTTAATGAACGCCAAAGGCCTCTCTGACAACAAATACAAATCCAAAGTTGTTTACAATGTCGACCAGAATATCGCAGAGTAAACGTCTAAACACGTAACTTGGTTCAATAATCGTTTGTTGTTTTCCAGGTCAGAACAGTCCCTTCAATTTGATTCGCGGTTTGAATGTGGAAATCTAAAGTGCGCCAAACAGGTATCTTTCTTTGATAAATGTAATTCACTCACTTATTTTGATGATAACCCAGATTGGAAGCCACGAGTATGAACTACTGCTCGATTCAGACTCAAACAGCTGCAATGGGCAACAATGGTACTATTTTCAAATCGGCAATACAACAACTGGTGTAGCTTACACTTTCAATATTATCAATTTTCTCAAAATTAATAGTCAGTATAATTATGGAATGCAACCACTTCTGTTCTCGCTGAAGGATTATACGACACAAGGGATTGGTAGGTAATTCTTACCGTCGAGGAGACTATTAAAGTATTTTAGGGTGGAGGCGCTGTGGTGAACATATTGTTTACCATGGAAATAATTATACAGACGATGGTTGTAGTAAACAATACAGAACGCTGTCATTTTCCATCACATTTCAACATAGCAACGATACCGTTTACTTAGCTTACCATTACCCGTACACTTACACAAGACTACTGGTAAAAAGTACCCCCACTACAACTTATTACCAATTTCTGTTGTGCTTTAGAACGTAATATCGTCACTAACAAACGATAGTTCGAGTAGTGGAATTTTTCTCAGAATAACGAAATTATGCAATACTGCCAGCTGTAAAAATGAGGTACCACTATTGACTATTACGGCACCTTCAACTCCCCAGTTAAGTGTCAATGTAAGCGTACCGCCACCTAATTTATGTAAATGAGTAAATTCGTTCCTCATACAGAGACGCCCATTCATTTTTATTACTTCAAGAGTCCATCCCGGTGAAACGAATTCATCGTGGATTATGGAAGGTATTATCAATTTTTTACTTGACAAAGAAAATGAGCATGCGAAAAGAGCTAGAGAGCTTTTCATCTTTAAAATCATTCCGATGCTAAATCCAGATGGGGTAATTTTGGGAAAGTGAGTGTTGTAACATATCTTGTATACGTAACAGATCATGCACTTGTAGTACAAGAAGTGGTTTAAATGGACACGATTTGAACAGGTGCTGGCTGAGACCTCACCGATATAAATGTCCAGAAATTTACTTTACAAAGGTCATTATTATAACTAAATTTTCTAGTTAATTAACAATAGTCTTTTAGAAATTGATGGAATATGCCAAACGTGTCCTTCGTCAGCCGGTATCCTTTTACTTAGACATACACGGCCACAGTAGGAAAAAATTCTTCTTCTTCTACGGATGCAATCCCGCTATGAGTTGGAATAAATCCGACGCAGTATACGGAGACGTTCAAGACATTTTAAAGGTAGTGCTTGCTGTGTTAAGCAGCTCATATGAGAATAATTTCAGGTATTTCCTCAAATGGTTCACGGTTTCACTCCACATCTACGCCTTAACGATTGCAAATACAAAATTCAAAAAGCCAAAGAAAGTACGGGACGCGTAGTCGTCTGGAGGGAATTCGGAATTCCGTACTCCTACACTTTGGAATGCTCTTATTGCGCAGGAGCGGAAAAACAGGTAGGTACCATATGAATTTCTTAGCAATGAAGTTCTACTTGTAGACAATAAATACCAAAATATTAACTGATATTGGCGCTAGCATTGTTAGAGCCTTTGCTAGTATGGCTGACGCAGCTTTTTCAACCTCAAAGTGTATGCCAATATTGTAAGTAAATTTATATAGGAGACTGAGCGAAATACATCGGGGACTTTAGGGGTGTTGATGAGTCACATCTGCACAGCTTTGTAACCACCAATGGGGAAACAGAAGAGAATTGAGCTTAATATAAAGTGGTTGCTAAAAACCATTGTGATAAACAAAAGTATTATAGATGCACTATTTACGCTTAAATTAAAAAATGTACTAACCTTTTAAATCGCCTTTTTCATTTTCTAAAAATACAAATATGGTATGGTGTTTAAGAAAATTGTTTGCACGGAATAGTGTTTGAGCACTCGACAATAACCTTTCGGGCCTAAACATGCATCTGTCCTACATTTTTAAAACTATTTTGAATGTCTGTGGATCCAACCCTACACTAACTCTAAAACTCTATTTAATAGAAGTAGAACTCTTGGTAGGGAGAGCATGTTTTAGTAAGTATAATTTTAAACTTAATTTGCTTCAAGGCAGCAGTGTTCTGAGCAAGTGCTTGGGTAACTAAGCCCCAACCACTTATAGAGCATACGATTACCGCGGATACACCGAAACTTTTCAAGCTGTTGAATATGTGACGGTGTCTCTCTTAAAGGTCTCAAATCCCTTAAAACTATACCCTCTTGAAGCTCTTGAAGTGTTGGGAACATTTCAAGCTCTTGGACTTGCACGATTTTATCTTTGAGGATATCATTTCTATTAAAGCCTTTAAAGTTCCCTAAGCTCTTTGAGCCTTTTTACCTACGTGAAGCTTTTAAAGTCCTCGGAATCTCTTGACGATTTATTTTATTATTGACGAATTTAAAGCTCTTCAATCTCTGTATATTCATGATTTTGCTAAATCTTTTGAGGATTTTGGTGCTTGCCACTCTAGAACCTGTTGACTCTCTAAAAATTCTTAAACTCTTGCAGGTTTTGGATCGGTTGAGGTTTTGCAACCTTCCGAAGTTTTTGAAGCTTTTGACACTCTACCTCCTTAAACTTCATTATTCTCTTTAAGCTTTTCAAGCAATTTTTAGAGCCATTGAACGCTTCTTAACTTCTTAGAACTGTTGAAACTCTTGAAATCTTTGACGTTTCGGATGCTCCTCTTAGAGGTCTTTGCCCACTTGTAGATTTTGAATTTAAAGCTCTGAACGCTCTTGCAACTCTTGAAGTTTTTGACAGTCTTGAAGTTGCTAAATATCTTGAACCCCTTGATGATTTTGCAGTTCCGATGATACTTTATGCGATTGACCTCCCTAAAGTATCCTGGTTGTTGCCCTGAGAAACATGGACTACTCCATTCGATATTCATCCTTAAAGCGCATGACCTTCTTGAAGGTTCTAAAGTAGTAAAACCCTACGAAGCTCAAGAAACTCTTAAAGTTGGGAAATTTGAATCTTTTGAACATCTTGATATTATTAAAGCTCTTAAAGGTATTGATGCTCTTAACCCTTTAGGACTTTTTGACTCTGAATGCCTTGATGTTCAAATGAATGTAATATTTCTGAAGTTTTAAATTTTTTATTCCCTCGAAGTTCTTGATCTCCTTGAAGGTTTTGAAGCTCTTGATTATATTGAAACTGTTGAAATCCTGGAACCCCTTGAAGTTTCTGAAGCTCTTCAAATTTGGATGCACTCTCTTTGGAGCTTAAGAGTTGTTGTATACCTTGAAGCTCCTGACATCTCTTAAAGATCTTGAAAATCTTGAATGTGCGTTGGATAGGGTTAATCGTGTTAAATAAAGTTTCAACTCATTTTTAAAACGATGCGTTGGTATTATTTTTTTAAGTGGCAGTGGTAGCATATTATATGCTTTAATGGCGGAATAATAAGGTCCTTTCTCAAATGATGCAGTTCTATGTACAGGAATTTTCAAATCTTTATTGGTATTGACATTGCGTCATATGTTTCAGCGTTCGTTAGTTATGCAGCAACTGATGATTTCAGAGAACAGACTAATTTTGTAAAGTTGAATAATATTGAGGGTTGTGTGCATTCTTACAAACTCGAGTTTGTTGGGAATTAGGCATTGTGGTCATGTTCAGGGTAAAGTCTAATACCTACTAAGTTGGGGGTTGTGGTTTGAAGTAAGCGTCGTCGTCGTTGAGCGTTATGCTCAGTCCAGTAAATACTGGAGTTCCTGGTTCAAATCTTAGTTTGGACACAAAGGTTTTTATCAGGCATCGGCTCTCACTCGCTCTACTTTGCAACGGTGAACTCACGGGAAGACACCTAATTTTGCTACTCTTCGCAAGGTGAGTCATTTTTTAGATTTGATCATTTTGAAGTATGTGACAAAAACAGAAGTGCGAGACACAAGTCACGTGAGGCAAAAGTGCACCACAGATAAATAGGTATTTTATCTGTGAGTGCACTAACTCCCCAAATGGCGGAAGTAAGTAAATGGCGCGAAGTTACTTTAAATCTCTTCTAAAAACAAATGAAATTCAGAAAAAACCGGTATCAATAGCTCGTACCTCTTTTCTTTTGTTACCTATTCCTTCCAATGCGAAATAAACAAAGAGCGAATGCTTTAGGAACTAAACGATCAAGTCTTAAAAGAATTTAGATCATGAAAATGATGTCATTTGGCATAGTATTAATTTATCATTGCGGAGGATGTGCTCACAGCGCTAACGGCTGAAAAATCCAGTCTTCGTCGAATAAAAATTGGCGTGTCCGGGCGTTTTTCAAAAATTCAGTGAAAAATATCACTCTGCTTTAAGTATCGGATAAATCCCCAAAACTTGTCAACCATGTGTGGCAACCCCATTGGTAGTACTTAAATTTATTATTACTGGACGGTTCAGTCCTAAGTAGTACAGTTACAGTGAATAATACGACAATTAGAGGGTAATGAAATGAAATGATTCAGAAATATTCCTACAGTAAAATATAAAACTAACGTAGATGACGATGTATTTACGATGAAGAATGAGGTCCTGCAAACATTGTGGCCATGTCAGGTTGAAGCGTAGATGCATCGTTGTCATCGTAACGATTATGACTGGCAACGGCTGATGGATCATCTTGCATTTCAATATTGGAATGGAAATTGTCGTATGGTCCGTTTGTTGCCATTTCAACTTCAGCATCTTCATCACGAACAGGAACGGCTGTGTTAATATTAACGTCATCTGGATGTGCAGGAACAAAAGTGCTAGATTTTAACTTATGGATTAATTCATTTATGCCCATTGGTACAAATTTGGCCTGTTCGGTTGTTGAAGATATTTGTGGTACTGAGGTTGCGGATGTTTTTCTGAAAATTATTATACATAAAGCAAATTGTGCACTAAGAAATTTCCAAAAACTACTTGGCAAAAGAATAGTAATTGAGCGAGAGATTATTTAGTTAAGCTTAGTCAGCCCATCCACCATGCAACCTCTCACCTAGGTTATGATTTTTTTATACTACGGAATTGAGTTAAATGTTTCAACTAAGATAGGTATTCAGAGCTGTGGTGCTGAATACCGGTAGGAAAGCGAAAGGGATAAAAGGAGTAGGTAGCTAGGGAAATGTAAAAAGCGTTTGAAATCCCTAACAATTGAAAAGTGAACATTATAAGCAGTAAGTTGTAATACGTTATTTCGCGGAACAAATGCGTAAGTAAATATACCTAATTAGTATGCAACTACTATTTTGCATTTGTCAAAACGATGACTCATCAGATGTGTACAAATAATAGTTCATTCGCCTTCGTATAAATTGCTTTGGCTAATTTCAAGGTCTACATTAATTAGAGTGAAAGAAGTCTACAGTGAGTTCCTACTTTAAAGCGTCTGCAACAGGATGATGAATTTCGCACAGCTCTGAACAAAATTAAGTGAATTCCATTAAAAAAAAGTACAACACTAGGTGTGGCGCTGTACGGGCTCACCTTTCTTACCCCTGTGAAGAGGAAACTGGTATTGGTCCATAGTTGTAGTAATAGCAACGCGTTTGCTCGCAGATAAAGTCTTTGTTCACCAAGCAATCATCCGTGTCCCAGTCAAACCGTGGAGCTTTCATCGCAATACAGCTATTGTGTAAACCGTTGCTACCACTGTAAACCAACGTGATTAACCATCCCTCCAACGAAGACCACTTGCTTACCTTTCCCGAGCAGTTCTTTGCGGGCTAGTGCTGCCATTTGGAATGTCATATCCACTTGAGTTCGCGGGAATTTCGTTCGAACGTTTCCTCATGTAGTTAAAAGTTGCATTAAACGACGTTCCAGTACTCATCCACAACATCATGTCAGTACCCAACGTATTTCCAGAAATCCAAAAGTCATATTTGTCGTAACCGGCGTTTTTCAAAAATTCCGTTATCGAATCCGCCTTTTCTTTCGCTTCGAATGACGCTAATTGTAATCCTAATGATCGACAATATTGATATGCCAAGAAAAAGTTTAATTCTGCTGTGTATGGATTCATCCTACTTATAAAATATTGCACCCCATCTAGTTGGATAGTGGTTATTTTCTGTCCTGTAAATATTATTTATTTAAAACGAGTCGAATGAATGAAACACGCATTCTGTGCCAAAAAATTGTACAATGTGCTCTTATACAATTTTATTAGGCAAAACTTAAACAATTGAAAGGGCCCCATACAAAAACTGCATAACGATAATTACCCCAAGACTACCCAGTATTTCATTAACTTAGTTACAGCAGCAGAACCGGCTCGTAATATAAATGGAAACATCAGCATGACTTTTTGTATTTTTGTACAGTAGACCGCGAGTGGCCTTTGTTTTATTTCAAGGTAAAGTGTGCTTAAGAAACTACAATTGCATCTTTACAAAGGAACTGCCCATGTACATTTTACATAATAAAGCCATACAACCGATACAATAAGAGGTGGTTACGCACCTCCTTCCGATACGTGATTTGAATTTTGAATCTAAGTCCATCGCGCTGCTTCCGCTCGTTACAAGTATAATTATGCAGAACGTGAGAAACGCTATTGAAAAACTGCTTAATATTTAAATCAAACACAAAAAATTATGCTGTGCGATCCTATTGACCTTTTTTATCATAAAATACTTATAGCCAATAATAGCAATTATCGCGAGTCAATTAAGTCGTAATTCATTGTTAAAAAACTAACTTACCATTGGACAAAGAAACTGTTACTAAAACTATAATACTGGAAATCACACTTAGCAAATGCATCTTCAAATCTTCTACCAACAAAGGTGCACACTGACTGGCCGTGACTCGAAACGCGCTTGAAATTTTGTTCTAAAGCACCGGATACACCCCCACCCTTACTTAGGATTTCATAATGTCTAAGAATTCGATTTGCCATCTAGCTTTACCTCTTTCCCATTACAAAAAATCGAGTCAACTCTATAAACAAGTCCGTAAATTTTTGCTTCGGGATTTCGATGATTGGATATATGTTAGGACAAGAAAAAAATTAGCAGCCTTACCTTGTGAAATATGACTTCTTAAAACGCATATTCACAATACCGATTATGCTCTTCTGTACTTTTTAGAAAATATGCGCCATTGTAATTAATCTAACTTTAATTTATGCATTGAGCGGCTTTCGGTTAAGCACAGAAAAACTTACTTGTCCAATAAAATACCTAATTTATCTTCAGTAGGTACGTACCTAATCTGAAATTTTAATCGAATTTGCAATTTGAGCTGAAATTTTTGTGTTCTGGATTACTTTATTTCCCTAAATTGAATGAAACAAACACTCTTGATTTCTTGATGCTATAGAGTGAATTTTTGGTGTAGTGGAAGTTGATAAATAGTACACGTTGGTGGTCTTTTTTTCAATTAGTCCGATAGGCCAGGAATCCGCTTGGCCACTTTCATTTTTCTTATACTTTTTTTCTAATATCTTTTGCATTAACTATATATTTACTTTTTTATGATTGTTCATTTATGGATTATGAACAATAAGCATTATTGATTACTGCTTAACAACGTTACAATCTTTGAAGCTAAAGTAGACACGTTTTTATGGAAACTCATATTTCGGTCAAATATAGGAGAAGACGGACCAGCATTTTCCGGGCTCAAATTTTATCCACTGGCAAGATATGTTACAATTTATGACAAATATTGCATACATACGGAATGTAGGTACTGGCAATATAAAATATACAAATACAAATACAATTATTACTCATTAATTTTATAGTAGCGATTTTCATAACAATTTCCCCAGTTTTCGTAGTCGACAACTATCCCATAAGTACATGTATAGGAAATAATTCCGCTCAATAATTCAGAATTAGTACCCATTTTGCTGTCACTCCACTTCATTGTAGAGGACACATCACAAAAGGGGTGAGTAGGTAAGTATCAAACTATCAATTTTCGAAATAATCGCCCCAGTTTTAGTAGCAGGTAAAAATTCATCCCCGATGAAGCGGCAATTCATCAGCGTCCCGTTCATTTAAAGAATACGTCCACACTCGGCCGCGGGTCGGGCATAAGTTGTCATGTAAAAAATTATATCACTACTGAACAAAATTCATCCCCGAGAAAAAAATTACTCGTCCCTGATTTTTCTCTCACCCTTTAATTGTCTGCACACAACGACCGTGGTTTAAGTAAACCATCGTCTTCAATGTTGCCATTTTTAGTCAAAGACGACTGTTCCCTTTCAATACTCGGTCAGGAAGAAAGGATAATTCAAAGGTAAACCTCATCTAACCCCACCACCACCATCAGTTAGAAGGTGCGATACCTGTACAGAACCTGTACCATACGATTCAAACTTAAAGTAAACGATCTTTTTGCCTTTTGCACAAGTACCGTAATTTTTGGGCATTTTCGTTAATTTACTTTGACAACCGTACCGTATTTAAACCATCGACATTTTTGCCTTTGGGTGTTGTAACCGAAAAGTAAGATCTTTCTGCCTTTTGCAATTTCGCAAGTACCGTAATTTTGAGCTTTTCCGTAAATTTATTTTGCATCCAAACAGTTTAATCATTTAACAATAGTTTACCGCAGCGTATCTATAGCTTTTGCTTTTTCTTTGTACAGTAATTTCTAGCGCTCCGTTTAATTGCCTGGTAAGTTTGATTAATTATAAGGGGGGATATTGTTTCGCTTTGCTGTATTTGCTTCTCCGTAAATACCGCTATCGAATCCGATTATTTACTGTTCCCGCTTAGAGAAACTGCTGTGCGCTTTAATTTTGTTTTAGCATTCACCTGTAGCCGGCCGTCACTTGCCCCTTAGAGTGCCTGGAGCTGCCGTTTACTACTGTTGAGTCCGTCCGTCCGACCGAACACCCAGGTTCGTCCGTTCACATGATTTAGAGACTATAATTTGTAAATTTGTTTATTTTCTTGTAGTTCGTCACATATAAATTTTCCCGGTGTATACTACAGCTCGGGCGCCAAATTGATAGGTATGCGACGAACTTCGGTAGTAATTTCGGGCACAAATGGCATGAAAAATTAAATAAGCTTTAGCGGAGAATAATGCTAATAATACTGCACTGCCTCGACTGGTTTTAAGTCTCCGGTTAACCACCATCAACTGGGTTTTTTCTTATGGAAGTCATTTTTACTTTTTGTGACATTTGCAATTTTTTCTAATTTAAAAAATTTTTTAATAAGAAATGGCGCCATGAATTCGTAAAAACGCAAGAAACTACGAACATACACTAGCCAAGGCAAAGTTTGCCAGACAAAAAAGAAGATATTTTAACAATATTTAAAAAATAGAGCTCGATGATTCTACACTTCGCGTATAAAAACTGATCTATATAACCAAATTGATTTACAACATGTTTTAAATATCCACCACTAGTTAGTTTTCCTTACATACTTACATACCTTACATATTCTTAAAGAGTACACTTTTTTTGGATATAACACCACAAAATACTTATTATATCAAATAATCAAATTTAATAGAAGAACTCAAATCAAGGAAAATATTTTGTTAATTGATTTCATAATTTTACTAGTTTGATCATGATTATTAGTTGTCATATTTAAAAAAAAGTCAATTCTTTAATAATACCTCACCAGAAATAGTGCTATCCAAAAAAAACGACTCTCGGAGGCCTCGGTAGACTCACGCCATTATAAAGAATTTTTAAGCATGTAGATCTCCTTAAATTTAAATGATCTTTCACGTAATTAGCAATAGAATATCGCTTTTTGTCAACGCAAACTCAGAACCGTTTTCCTTAATTTGAGTTTTGGTTATGTAATATCATATTATGTTTGTTTATGCTGTTATATCCAAAAAATGTACCCTTTAAGAATATTTAATTAAAACTAGTGGTTGCCGTTAAAAAAAAATAAGCCGCCCTCCAGACAAAATTTTCACGCTGTATATTACCAACATTAAGGATAAAGAAAACAAAGAATAAACTGTATTCGGGACCAGAAAAGGTAAGATGTTTCTAAGAAAAGACGTTTCAACATTTATTCTAAAAAATGAGGAAAAAAGTTAATTATCTTCGGATTTAACAAGAATCAACTTTTAAAAAAAAAGTCGATTGTGAATTTAGAAAAGAAAACTAATTCGAGTCACTGTGAAGAATAAATAACATCAGGTAATAAACAAATAATGTAAATGAAGACAAAAGTAAAGTTCAAATTTTCATCGTATAATCGTTCATTTACTGGCTACCATTACTTTATAATACCGTGAAGTTACCTAAATTTCTATTTTTCGGTATCTGGTGATGAATAATTTTGCATAATTATTTGATGGTGCCGAAAGAGATTATCTTAGGATGCTAAGGTTGAACAACCAGCAATTATGGGTTTTATCGATAGGTATATGACTATGACCTGACCATCTTGAATCGCGCACATAAATCGTTTTCAGTGTGCAACATTCCTTTCTTTTAGCGTCGCCTATATATCAAATTTAGCAGATTCCAAAATTATATAAGTTTGTTGTTTTAATTTATTCTAAAATTATTTTTACTCGTTTAAACTTACTTCGTTTTTAACATGTTGGGCTAGATCTTTACTAAATAGTTTCAGAATTTCAATTATTTCATTTGAAAATAAGTCGGTAATTGCGTTTTTCCTGGACCTGCTCTTAATAAACAAAAGCAGATTGATACAAGACTAGGTCTGCAGACTGCATACCTGTCAGCTCATCAAAGATCAAAGGAAAGGTTTTACACGGTGGACGTTTTGAAATGTTTGAGAGTCGTGTTTGGTATATCACCCACGTGGCCGACAGATCCAGAAAGCATTTCGGTTAAACTTCGGTTTTCTGGAACAAAGATGATCGTCTTTCACCACATTATTTTCCCGAACCATTTTCGAAACTGGAACATTTCTAATCTAAATTGATGGCAACTAACAGTGTATCTCTTATGAAAAGGAATAATGTAGGTAATAGTATTGCCTTCTGAAGAGAGTACCAATAAAACCATTGAAAAGAAAGTAATATGAAGGTCGAATTCCGTCAATAATGGTATAGGAATCAAATTCAGTGAAAAGGTTACCTTCTGTTTAATAATAAAGAAGGTTGTACGGCGTGTCTCTCTTATCCATTGTTTAGTGAATCGCCGCGGTGCGGTTAAAGTTAAATACATGGCTAGGTAATGTACTTTACAATGAGAATCGGATGTAATTAAAAATCTACATCTTCATTTCATTTTCATCCATTTATACATGGCGCCAAACGACTTACTAAACCGCAACCAGACACCACGAAAATCGCATTTATACACATACTTATAAAATAGTGGAAGGGAAGCCTATATAATTAAACCGGCTAACATTTTCTCTGTATTTATTATATCTGCTCGTTTCTATTTATAGCAACTAACATGGGAATAATAAAGGCAACAAATACAAAATACATCCCATCTACCTATATTACCTTCCCATCAAGACACAAAAATTATATTGCGTTGTATTTCAGAATTTACATGAAAACATAAACTTAACTTCTAAGAAGATATTTTGAAGATCACCACAGATGATATATGATTGTTAGAAAACATAACTCGTATGGCTTTAGAAGTAAATTAACGTTTAGCCTAAGGCTGGCTTACAAAACAAGATACGCTTCTACAGCATATACAACAGCGGTATGTTAACGTTAAATAAAAAGAAAAAAAACAACAGTGTGACGAGAAAAAAATGGCATTTCTTTTTAAATCGTTTTGATGCAATATTGTACTTTTATGTCTAACGAATTGTAACGTCCCAAAGTTTTGTCGGTTTATGCCTTCCCAGCGATATAATTAAGATACTTACGAGATTTAATGAGTGATCAACATAAAGGTAGCGAAATTTAAAT